GACTGCACGTGACAGAAAACGACAAAAAATATCCTTTGATAACATCTGTCAGCTTTCCTTCTTCCTGCTCCACGCTCGCTCGTTAGTCATGATTTCGGGCCCCACTCTCTTCTAGGGCCGCATTCGACTAGTTAGCTAGGCGACCCACCTAAAAGCTTGCCGTCTTATTCCCTAATAGACACTGCATAGATTACGCAACAAGTATTCAAGTGGGTCGGCCATATTTGATCCGTGGACTAGTTATTCTGCTGTTGTGTATGCGGCCTACAACCGTTATAACACCTCGCTTGTTTTGGCTAGCAGGCTATGTACTTGCCGGGATAATTACCATTGCAAGCGCCATAAAAGAAAATAAAGCTACTGCTCCGAAGAAAGTTTTGGGGTATTTCAACAGTAATGTTTGGCTCTTTATCTTAAATTTCCAAATTTCATGTTAATCATAGATTATATTGGATTACATTTAATTTGAGCAATGGGATTGAGGGTAAGAAATTAAGCTTAGCGGTATTTATTTTCAAGGATATTTAGAAAATTTTCAGGGTATGTATAAAAGACACATGCGACTTTGTTGATAAAAATTCAGTTGTATTAAACAAAAATAAATGTTTCATTTTGGTCTTTTCGTGGTTTTCATTTGAAAGAGCATTTCGATTTAAAATTACGAGAGCTTTCATTCTTTAATAGCACATAACTTGAAGCATAAAATAAAACGTCTGGACCTATTAGCTTTATTTCAACAAATATATAATTGATTTTATTTATTTATTTATTTATTTATTTATTTATTTATTTATTTATTTATTTTTTTATTGTAAATAAGCGCTTTTGGAAAAAATTCTCAATATCAAATTTGAAATCCGGATTCCTACTAAAATACCGAGGAATTAGTGGATAGTATCAGCATGACTTGTAATTAGACGATATATGGAATTAAAGGGTGGTGTTTACGCTCCTGACATTTACTCTGTTGGAATGTGACTCATCGTTATCCTTCATCAAATAGCAATTACATTTTTGTACGATCTTTTTATTCATAAGATGGTTCTGTTTTTGCAGTACATATATAACACATGTGAATCTACAATAATTCTTGGTTATTTCCCGTAAGTCCTTGATCTGTAGCATACAGTATAAACGATGAACATGACGACATTTAAATTCGGCTTTTAGCGTAATGTCACAATTTAGGTTACCAGCAAAGAACTAAGCAGATCCGGATTAGTTCTTGTAATTGTAAATGAGCAGAATGATGACATCTTTTTAGTTGGTATTTGGCGCAAATTTATAAATAAAATTTAATACGGTTGCCCTGACAACATTACAGATTTTGCCAACCTTTTTAGGTTTTCTTTCTTTTTCTATGTCAGTTGAGATTGCATTTTGATGCAAAAACCTAATTACTAATAGACATTTTTTTTTTGCACGTCCCAAACCATGTACTGGGCAAGTTTTCATGTTTATTTGGAGAGTCATCTTTTATTATGCATTCCAGTATCATTATTATCCAGAGGTTTGAGCACTTGGGCAAAGAATTCTTTACTTATTTTGCTAATCTTTATATACCAATTTTTACGAAGTAGTCTACTCTGCTTGTAATTATGTTTTTCTTCTTTTCCTTTTTTATTTTTTGCGTTGGAGATGTTTAAGGTGTCATTGTCGTTGATCATTATTATTATTATTATCTTGTCTAAGGGTTTATCGGTTAACTTCAAGTGTCTTCCTTATTTCCTCTTTGTGGCTTCTGTTTCCACTGGCTTTTAGCTTTTTATGCCATCTTGCTTTTCCTTCCATTTTCACCTCCATTATGCCACACAAGCACATGTAGTTGTTTTTTAACTTCTGGCTTATTATATACGGGGAGATATACAAGCACCAAGCAAAGGATTGTTTTCAGACAATGTAGTGTTAAAATGTACAATACTGTGCTTCTGTCAAACAGTAAAACTGGCCATAAAATGCACTCCCGACCTGCGCGTGTAATATTGCATGACATTAAGTTCATAATGGAAATAACAAAAATAATTTTAAAATAAACAGAAGCATGTACAGGTAATGTCTCATGACGTACGTCTGACCAAAAACAAAAGAAGAATCAAGTCACCTTCAATGTGTTTCTTTTAGATACATGTTTAAACAGAGCGCTCGTGATTTGCACATTTAACATAATCATAGTTATTAATTTTATTAGCCTGTCCCTTTTAATTAGTTTCACTTATTTCTGTCTTTAATTAGACACGGGGTCGAAACAAGTTCATCCATATTGCATGTTAATCTGACTTTCAGTACTTGTGGAAACACAACGTAAACGGAAGGTAGAAGCAGTGCGTTGCTCTTTATCGGCGGAGGGTCATTTGGTGGTCACTAGTGGCGGTCAGTAGATAGTGTGATCGTGTATGACAGGGCCATTAATGCCTCCACTTATGAAGGTACCATATAATTGTCTCAAAAATGACATTAGATGGACACACGATAAAGGAAAGTTCAAATTGGACTCTTAATGGCAAAAAAATTGGGCCATTGGAGAGTGCATCTTAAGCTATAGTGTGACTGCCGCTGGATTATCTCAGGTTCTTGCAGTCACTTCAAGAGCCAAATTTTTGCGATATGCTCATTTTTGTGTTGGATTCGTGTGGCCATTTTCTTTTGGGAAGGTCATCGCGAGGGCATCTTCTCAAATCGTGACATCCTCATCTTTACTCACTTTCATCATCCGCACTGTCGTGTCGCGGATTTTTCTTCTGACGAAGAAAAAACCCAGGAAGCAAGAAGCTGGCTGATTGACTAAGAAAATACCATGATAATGTCTCTGGCATTCACACACATCCCCAGTTGAATGGCAGAAAATAAACCAAGCTGAAAATAAAATATAAGAACCTAAGTAATCAGAAAAACATAGTGAATGAAATTCGCTAAAAGGGTGTGGACAGGGTTCGGTATTTTGGCCTACTGCTTAAAATCGATATGATTCCGTTAAGCACTCACAATCCTGCCGTGTAGCCTTCGTATAGATATACGACGGCATCTAAAGGGTGCGGTGCGGCATTGAGGGGGGAGGGAGGGGGCCTAAATCCATGTTTTTTGTGAGTATTTTTCTGTGTTTGAAATGGCCTGAAAAGTATCTAACGTCGCATAAAATCATTAAGCGGGTCATCGGAGTGATAACAGGTAAAGCTGTCACCTATGTAATTCACTAATAAGCTCTGTTAACCTGCCCGTCGCCGTTTTTACGCCTTTGAAGATTTCTAGATATGTTAATCGGCTTGAAGTCTTGCTTCCTATCTCACCAACCGATCGAGACGTAAGTTAGTCACTTGTTAAGTTGTGAACGTTAACAATATACATAAGCCGTTGTCGGCGAAATTGTCTCTTTTCGCGTTTTGAAGTCTAGGGTCTATTCCCACAACTTTAGATCGATCTATCACCGCGGGGAGTCTCACCAGACTACCGTCAGATAATCCCCCTTAAGTGTNTTGTCTCTTTTCGCGTTTTGAAGTCTATATGTAATGTGGATTAATTTCACACAAAAGCCGATAAAACCAGGAAAAAGTTAATTCAAGAGAATGTTTTGATAACTTTTTAGTGGGTCACTCAACTTTATATTACCATTTATGTAATCTTATAGTTGTCCTGGTGCTAGAGTAAATTAGATCTGTTGCATTAATTTTTTTCTTTTAATTAACTTAAAATTACTTAAACCGAGATTTTATGGCGCGATCTTTTAAAAAAATATGAACCGCAAAAATCATCATACTGTACAGTCTGAGCACATTCTACTCTTTTTACTAAGTATTTCTTGCCTTGCATTAACTACTTTGGCACTCTTCTTAGTCCTGCGAAACATGAAGCTATATACATGCAGATCACAACGGTGACAGTGTCACGGGCAGATTAAAAAGAAAATTATTGGATTTTTAGGATAATTCGTTTCGTGCTAAATAAAGATTAAATAAAGACTGTAATTAATTAAACATTTAATGTGCTTCATATACACGAGTGGCTATTACGAAAGCCCGTGATATTTCATTTAATTAATAATTGCTATGCATAAGCCAAGCCTAATTGGAAGGCGAATAGCTATTAGAATGTGATTAAGTAATTACGATTATTGTTCGCGCGCGGACATACATGTAGAAAGGAACACATAGATAGCGGATACCAAGGAACACGAACAATAAAAGTGAACACTGGCGAATCCTTACAAGATGTGTGGTTATCTGACTTGTCTCAATATATATTTTAGAAAGTTAGCGTACAAGTTTTATACAAGTTACTTATTAGATATTGATTGTTAAAACTCATTTAATTACATAAATAATAACAAATCATGATGATAACTAGTATAATGATCATTTACTTTTAGTTCGAATTCTTTGTTGATCTTTGCTTATACCAGGGGCGGATCCAGGATTATTTGAAGGGGGGGGGGAGGCGTCCGCGGATGCGAGCCGATCCCCCTCCCTATGGCGTGGGAAAGAAATATCTCAATTGCTCGGAAAATGATCTGATACTAAAACACCCAAAATTTTGGTATTTTAGAGGGCGAAAGGTGCCATTAGTTACTGTTTAGAACTATGATTCAGCTAGTCCAAATTCTTATCTCAAGAGAGGACCATCGGTGATTTTTTTCAGAACCCCCTGATACCCTCCTAAATTCGCCACTGGATAATACCAGTATTTTTGATAGCATGGATATGATCCAATATTAGAGGGCAGATCATTGATATATTTGTAGGTGCAAAACTATTAATAAGTGCGTATGTGCGCGTGCGTCAGCGCGTGTATGCGTTAACAGAAAATGGAAATAATTTAGAAAAATTTTCTTATACTATAAAGTTACAACTTACTCTGCTGTTCTTACTTGCATTAAAGTAATTATACACATAGTAAGTAACTGTACTTATCTTTGCAAATAGGCGCCTTGGACACAGGCTAATCTCCTTCATTGCATTATAGGTGACCTATCAATGGCCCATCAGCCCAAAGTTCCTCTTATTCATTAGCAACACCTGAAGCTACAAATAGGACAGCTGCGCCTAGGTAGGCCCAGAATTCACGACAGATGCCATAAGAAACATCAGGTAAGAAAAGAGTGTTTCTGATTCTGGGTCTTCTGGGTTTTCCGGAAGACGGTCAGATATTCAAGTTTACATTGACGGGTTTCTGATTTTTTTTCTGTCGGAAAACGGTCAAAAATGGAGGATCGATCAACAAAGATAATTTGGAAGACTGTCAGAAAATATCTCTGGATCCGCGCCTGCCTCAAATATACCTATAAAATGGTGGATTTTTGCTGATTTGGTTTAATTTATATCACAATGGTACTGAGACCGTCTGTTTTGACAGGAGATGAATAGGAAAGAGTGACGAAAGTGAGGAAGTAAGGGAAGATATAAACTTGGCACTAACAGTAAGAAGGCGCTTTTGAACGAACTTGCATTTTTATCCATTTTTCCAATTTTGTTATTAGTTTCATTATTTCTTCACTTACATTATTATTCATATATTTATTGTTGTTATTATCATTATTATTTTGTAAAAAAAATTGCCCATAGGTTCTTACGTGCTAGGTAGTAGAGTGAAAACTTCTGTGTTAACCAGAAGATGGAACTGTAGTTTATGCGGAGACATGAGCCAAAACCACTGAGCTCCGTCCCTCTACTTATTAAGCCGTTCCTAATGTCTTTACACGCTGGCTAGGTTAATGCAGGTGTCACGCTGCCCTGAAAATGACTCCAGATGAACGATAAAAGAAATTTTTCAAATCTGTCTCTGATTATAAGGACATTTTACTTATTAATTAATTTTTTTCATTTGTTCAACAGTTAACAGACTAAAACTGATGAGGAAATAACGCGTTTCTTACTCGTGCACAGCAACGAAAATCCAAATGCACGTATTTGGTTTTGTCAAGCAATTTATCCTCTGGGACTTTTGGCAGAACCCATTTGTAAAAGGGTATTTTGACCTTGTAAAAAACTTTTTGATAGAAATTTTAAGTATGAGATACGGTTTCAGTCTCTTTTTCTTTCTTTTTCATATCGAACTTAAAATAGTCTAATTTTAATTATAGTCATATTTTGATTGCAGGCATTACACGTCCGAAAAGATAATGATAATTTCACCAAAAAGTTAAACTCTAATTAAAAAACGTTTAACTACCAGTGGTCCCTAATGAGCTTCGTGATGGAGTCGGCTAAACTGAGAATAGAGAAAAATGAAGGTCATTATCGTCTTCTTTCTTCATTATGAAGAATAATAAACCAACACGCTCTGAAATGACGTTTTATCGGTATACTCTGTGTGAGAGGTTAAGGTTTGGTTATTCTATACATGTATAGTACAGGAGCGGCTGACAGGTATTTTGCACAGGTACAGCATCGAAAGAGCTTCATACTTGCATGTTTTTTTGTCTCAATATTATTTTTTTTTCGTCGTAGAATTTTCTGGAGGCCTTCCCACCAAACTGTACCGTAGGAAAAAACTTGACGTGAGTAGCCCGAGAGAGATAATAGTAAATTATGGACATCCCCTTTCCAGGCGGTAAGTTACAGATTTATTGTCAGCATCACAAACGGTCTCTCTCTCTCTCTCTCTCTCTCTCTCTCTCTCTATATATATATATATATATATATATATATATATTGGAGCAACAAAAGACCTATTTTCACTGTCCTTTCCATTGAGTGTCTGTTCAACGCAATATAGCGCAATATCAAATTTCATGTTGTCGAGCCTAAAGTGCCCTCTGGTAGAGGCTTTCGCGACCACACCCACTGGCCTACTGTACATTACTTTAAAACATCAGTTTCAAATGCTCAGTGTGATTTAAATTTTTCATTATTTGATCTACTCTCTCTCTCTCTCTATCTCTCATTCGAGCAAATTCTTTAGTAATTTCCAAATTTGTTCTTGATTCGCTTGTAGCTGGAGGTTATTTGTTTACTTATTTTTGGAAAATGTTTTGCTTTCTTTCAGGACCTTTAGATGACACAACAGGAACCGGTTTGTTCCGCCCTTGTGTTGGCCCTGAAACCAACTCAACGACTGCGGTGATTCTGCCCAGGCAGTGTGCTGACAACACCCTGTGCGTCAGGAACTTCTTTTTCTTCTTCGCTTCCTTATCATACCAAGTATGCCTATGTCCGATGACCACAGTCCCAACATCACCTCCAGGGTCAGGGTGCACTCCAAGTAAGTCAATATTGAATTTGTCTCTAGTGTTTTTGGTGTTGCTGTAGATTTCCCTCCCCTCCCTCCCCCCCCCCCCCCCTCTCTCTCTCTCTCTCTCCTGTACGCAACTTCCCGGTGCTACCAGCAGAAATGGTTAACCGCCCATGCTCGTCATTTTCTGGGGGAAAGGTCCATTTACGATCTCCTCCCGTGATCTACCAGGTGTAAACACTCTTCCTCTGTGACATTGGCAAAGATAAAAATGCGATTTCACGGAGTTAGATCTATTAATCTATTAACCCAGACCCTTTACACACCCCTCCCATCTGACATCCAAGATACTCCTTGACAACAGATTTAGAAAACAAGCATATGAAATGCGTTTTGTATGAGTCATTGAGTCATTAGATAATGGCCCCTGTTGCCATCTCCCGTAATATGACAATAACGGGATTCATGATAACCTTTTTAATGACTGGCCGTGACTCCACAATTCTCTTGTAAGCTCGGGCATTGTGGATTCTTGGCCAGTCATTAAAAAGGCAAACGCCCGACTAGATTTCCCCTTATTATCATCTTTTACATAGTTTACCTCCGTGACTATATCTCCGTTAAATAACTCGATAATGAATGAAAAGTGGTATGTACACAGTGCGGAGAGGTCATGCATGTATCGTCTGCTCAGAACGTGACACCACTATTGATTAGTTAACAAATGCGCAAGAAAAAATAGTTCGTAACACCAGTCGTCAAAACAAATCTACACACAGCTTTCAAAGAAATGCCTACATTTTTTGGGTACTATATATAAATGTGTGTAGAAAACATTGATTCATTAGCAATTACGCTGCCTAAGAGTAATCATAATATTTTTTTTGTTGAGTATGAAAATTTTCACTTATACTCTTTCTGGACTCGTTAACGTTCGACCAAGATGACGAAATACAACAGGCATTAATAATATTTAGGCCCTATGTATGGCTTTGTGTGGCATATAGCTTGTTAATAATATGCGGTTATCACAACGATTATGGCTCCAATAAGGGATAACAGTCTGAAATTAGCTTACTTGTTTATCCTGTCCGTTGATTTTTTATTAATTTATTTGCTTTTCTATCTATCTATCTATCTATCTATCTATCTATCTATCATTTTTTTCATCCTTTTAATTTGTAGTTCACCTATTAATCATATTAATTACAGTCCAAGGCAGTGCATGTACGTCAAATGTGGATTGTTCTTTTCGTCCGTACGACTGTGTTGGGTTAACTAACTGGAATATAGATACCACCCTCAAGGACTTTCTAACGGTAAGCGCATAGGGTTTCTTTGCTATGGTATGTCCGCCTAAATCCTTGTTTTTTAGGATCATATGCTCTCTCTCTCTCTTTCTCTCTCTCTCTCTCTCGTAAATATGGCTTTTGTGCACCAACGTTACCAAAGTCTAAGTTGTGCTTTTTATATATTTTTATAGTATTGTCTTATCAAATTTCCATGTTTATATATTATTTTACATATTAATATACTGGTCGTCAATGACAACGTAGCCTACACTTTTATGATAATGTGTTATCAAAGTATCACATTTAAGACATGCAAACTGAAATAAGAAGACATTTGGACGGTAGTCTCAGACACATGCAAGTGCACTATGGCTATCATTGGATTACTTCTTGTGTGATACGGTTTCACTCCTCGTGGAGTGCCTGCCCCAGCTGCTGCCTGCGTTTAGGAAGTGGGTTACTCTGGGCGACCTGTCTGCCCAAATGGATTTAGATCTGGGGAACGTGTGGGTCACTGTGGGACAGCCACAGCCTGATCATCCTGGAGATATGATGTGGTGACACGTGCTGAATGGGAACGAGCATTGTCCTGTTGGAGTACCCTCTACCAGGGCGACAGATTGGTTTTCCACAGATATTCACAGATATGTCTATAGATAGATAAATAGACTGTCATTTTGGCGCTCAATCAGCAAAAATGTCCACAATAATAACTGCGGCTCTGGTGGAGGGTACTGTTGGAGTATGTAAACATCTCGGCACTGTTGCAGCCATGATATGCTGGCTGCACATTGTAGTAAGCGATTTGGGCGTCGGATGACAGTCAGACATTTCCTCAGGAGGATCTGTATGCAAGGAGGTTATGTTGTTGGAGGCGCCTTCTTACTGTGGGACTGCTTATTCGATGGTTTTGCTACCCGAATACCTCACGTTTGGGGCGATTTGACCAGCAAAATCGGTCCAGTGGATGTTGTTGGCGTGTGTGCTTATCTTGGTGTTGCAACATAGTCCAGTAAAATTATCTGCCTCTTGATCTGTTATTGGCCGCTAACGTTTGTCACACCCTCTGTCTTCCAGCCGTTGGTGTTCTATATCTGCAGTAACACCATTGAGTTCCGGGTAGTGATACCCAATTATGCGTGTGTTGCCAACGTGTGTGTCTTTGTTGGGTTGTCGTCGGGTATTCCCACTGGCATCCCCGGAGTCCCCGGCTTTGGAAGGAAGAAGAGAGATTTGGACGGTGAGAAAAAACATGTATTATTTTAATAACCTATCAAAACATTTACAGTGCAAGTGAAGTGCAACATTTTTATGTAATTTGTTGTGTTTCGTTGACCCCATCCTAAATTACTCTTCTTTTCTGCTTTTTAATTACGGCATTGCGACAAGTAACATGGCGACATGTATATAATACCATAGTTTAATATCTTTCTAATTCTACGTTGATTCAATTACTCATGACTTCATCAGTAAAAGTAGCCTCAGTTTATTGCATTTTATGTCGTAATACTCAATGATCAAGTCAGCCCGTGGATTAATACAAACTGAATTGTTCTTTCGGACATCTCTCTCATCTCTTTTAACGATTATTCCTCTTCACATGATCCAGATTTGCGTCGTAACCAGGACGCGGGCGACGTGGACCCCACTAAAGTGTGGCTGAGAGCACTGGAGACTTCGGGACAAGAAGCGCTTAGCGTTCAAGGGGAAGAGTCCAAATCAGACGCAAAACTTGAAGTCAAGCAGACAAGTGTATCTGTGTCGACGGGCTCGGGTTCCAACGAAGAGTGCGTTACGTCGTCCATGATGAATATATTTACTGAGCTCATAGTAGGAAACTATCCCATGTTTCAGTTACAGTGTACGACACCCCTGCCATAACGTAGTGCGACTGGACAAAGTCTTTAAAAATGAAATAATTAAAACAAGTGCAATATACAGAAATAAAAAGGCAGACAGATATATAAACAGATTAGCGAAGGGGTGTGGGGGGAGGGGGTCAGAGTCACCTAAACACCTTTCTTTCTGTATCGTACATAGAGATACATTTTAGATGTTGGGAATACCAAAAAAGGAGATACAAAAAATCTACTTTCGTGTGCATTCTACAACCTTAACCCCTAACACTGTCGGTCCTGTGCCAAATTTGTCAATTCTCCCCCCTCCTCCATTTCTATCAGCCTCTGCTTCCCCCCCCCCCACCCCATCGCAAATCCCTGACAGCCATGTGAAAATCCTTAGCTTAGCGCACCCGATTACAGATACTACAGTCAACGGTCCCCGATGCGATAGTATCTCGCAGTCTAGTCGCTAAGAGTGGGGTTCGTTTATCTTAATATACTTCTAATTCTGTGTTACAAATTTTAATCACAGTGAATCCTATTTAGTGACATACACTGAACAGGATCGTAGGCTGAGATAAATGTTCTTCGGCAGCTGTTTGAAGCCTGCAATACACATGCAAGCAGCTTCTTAGTACCCTGTAGCAAATATTGAGCACTCGGGTTGTTTGTTGTTGTTTTTTCATTATGCATATAAATTCAAAACAATAGTGTTTCAAAAACGCTTAGCTTTCGACTCCATGTTTATATGTGCATATAATGTTGTGTTTAAAGTACGTAGATATGATTGTCCTGTTATAATAAATTGTTTTATCTCATGTGCAAAAGACATGGCATAAATCGTAGCAATTATTAGAGACATTATGGAGCAAGCTGGAAAAGTGTTAAATTTCAGTTCTAAAATGATGATGAACACCAAGATCACAAATACACATACAGCCACACGTGGAAGGGGAGGGTGCGAGTGACCCAGGAAATACGGAACGTTATTATAATGTTACCATAACGTTTATATAACGTTATAGTAACGTTATAGTAACGTTATAATAACGTTCCGTGTTTCCTGGCGAGAACCTTTGGATGTCATAATTGAGATACAGCGCTTTCTTAAGCCAGTAGTTTGACTGGATTGCAACTGAGGAATATCACCTCCCTGGGGGGGAGGTAATTATAAACAGAACGACCGGTGCCCTGTGACAGACCATGGGCTTTGATGTATAGATCTAATTTATCAAATAGAAAAAAAAAAGAACAAAAGTTAGTAACTTAAATATCGGCTCCCCATGCTTCTGTAACGCGTCTTTAATTATCTAATGTTCCTTAAACATCTTACACGTATAAAATGAAAAAAAGTCATCTAAATCTACGTCGTACACATTCAGTTCAATGCGTCAATTTGTTTGTCATTCTTTAATGGAAATATAATGAGTGAAGATAACAATGTGGGACACGGTCAGATACCTGTCAAATTACAGGGGTTCTTTAAAATTTGAAGCATTAATTAATACCCCTGTCATACAAACAACACACTGCGACTTTACCTTCCATTCACTTTATTCGTGCCTTGTTTCGTGCTTTTACTTATAAACTGGTTTTAAAAACGTGAATAAAAAATTAACATCTGGTCTCTTTAGAAACTATTTACTTTATGCCATATTTACACATCGCACAATAAATACCTATTCCATTGTACTTCGTCCTTGTTTCCCGTTTGTCTTTTTAAATTGCACTTTCGGTGGGCACACGATCAATAGTGCCATACGTGATGTCTATTATTGGCGCACGCAAAAAAAAAAAAAAAAAAATCCAATTTTTGTCAAAGGAGATACAACAGAAACATATTTAACGCTTTAACGCATTTCAAACAAAATTAAAACCCTTAACTGTCGTGATGACCATTCAGGAAAGTCTGCACAATAGTTGTCTATCGTATATCTCTCTCATCACGTTGCCAACAGCTAAATGACTGGGAAAAATAAAAAGAATCAACTTTCATTAAGCACATTGGTGACGCGTTAAGGAACAGAGTTGCGACACTGTCTGTGGACATGAGATTGTTCTGTGGTCATGACGTCGTTATGTAGCAATGGCGTCATTCTGCGCTGATGATGTCATTTTGTAGCCATAACGTCAAAGCTAGCCTGATATATTTTCACAGCCATACGGATAAATGTCCCCGAACAGAAATTCCCACATTTTTTCAATGGAGGTGACAGCAGGCGATGCTATGAGTCGGCATTTCTCATCAGCCTGGCGTTTCTCCCGCGTGTTAACAGCATCTTCCCTCTGGCCCTCTGACACCTCTAGGTCGGACAACTCTTCTGCAAAAAGAGATTATGATTTTTCTCATTTTAAAGAGATCCGAGATGCAGTTTTCAGGTTGTGTTTCAAAGTGCAATTACGCTTTGTTTTACAGGAAGTTTTGAATACAAATAATATAAAAAACTCAAATCCCAAAATTAATAATGAAAATGAAAAATAATGAATGGCACCAACGTCTGAAGAGTTCACTCGCAGAAAAAAAGGATGTAATGTGGCACATGGTGGTTTGTGTGCCTAATACGCCAAATAAAGGAATATGAGACAGTTTCGTACCGTCCACATCTCTCTTCTTTCTTCCAAGCCCTCCACCTCCCCCGAATGGGTCGAAAGGCGTTATGGCGGCGGTTTGGAAGTACTGGCATTGACTGGCCGCGCAGACGTACAATGGAATCCTGGTGCGGTACTCAACAGTATTCGAACAAATGTAGAACACAAGGGGCTGAAATGTAAAATTAATAAATCCAAAAACTATTTCATTAATTGCCTTAACGCTGAAAAGTGCATGGGGACGATGCCGACGACGCCGACAGACGCAGGTGATGGCCCTCAGAACAGTCAGACTGTATCTGTGCATAGAGATGAATTTGTAGTACAGCGATAAGGCTGAAACTTTATGTACCAGAAATGTACATGTATAATAAACCAACACAAAAGTTTCATACAAAGCAAGGCGTTTCCCACTGCGGCGCAATACATAGCAAATTGAAAGAAATATAGACAAAACAATCAGAAAAATAGTCATGGAAAAAATATGTCGTTTTTTCTTCTTCACTGCATTAGCTGATCTGCAATTATTTTAAAGCCCACTTTTCCTCCAAATCCCAGAAATTTTGGCCTTTTTGTGGGATGATTTCCATCTAGCCACTGCTTAAAATATTTTCTAGGACAACCCTAGTAGAATCTATTCCATCCGCCTACCCGGAGAAACGCTTTCAGCAAGACTGGGTCGTATGCTGCAGTAATGTTCCAGCTATCAAGACCCACACAATCAAAAGGGAGGATGTTACATTCGTCAGAGGTTAGGCAGGCTCTGCCTTGGACTGAAAATAAAAAGAGGATTTTCTTGAAGTTTCGATAAAGTGTAAATAACGCAGGCCTACGAAAATGCATATGGCTTTACTAGGCCCGTTTCAGGTCTCATAAAAGATAGGCCTAATTGCCGTTTTCTAACACGAGCCTTAGATTTTGGACCACAAATGTACAAATTAAACGTCTCCCACCACGAATTAAGAATTACTAGCCTCAAGCTTAGCGTTTCATTACACAAACAATTTGGCCAGCTTCCATCCGGGTCTTTGGCTCTATACATACCCCCCAAAGATTCTTTTATACGGCACAAATGCATTCTCGACAGTCTCCGGTTCATATGGAACGTACCGAACAGGTAGATAAGCGGATAAACGCTGTACTTGTGGCAAGTAATTTTACGTTGTGGTAATTAATTCGTGGCTAGAGTCCTTAATTTGGGCATTTGTGCTCACAAAGCCGAGTCCAGAGTTGAAAAAATAATCCGTTTAAAAGGCTTGTCTAAAGGTGCAATTTTACCGCTCATTCTCGAAGTCACAGCACCAAAGGTAACTACTGAAATTTTCTTATAAAATTATAAATCTACGTTTAATACAAAAATAAAAAAGCTGAAATATGCTTATTGAAATTAATACATGTGTTTTGATTCTTTATTTTAACGATTAAATAGGGGAGATGTCATCGTATGTCGACTTACTGGGGTCACAGGTACCGTTTAAGACATTAGGGGTAGATGTCAATGGACAAAGACAAACTTGGCTGGACAACCCCATAAAGAGGAAGAGGAAGTTGGTGACACATCTTGTATCGTCTGCGCATGACTTGGGCATCATGACTGCGGTAGTGAGGTTGCCGTGAGAGGGACTCGTACAAGACGTGAAGAGTCCGGTGCCTGCAGGGTTGGGAACCAGTCCTATATTGATAAAAAGTATAGAATACTGAATTATATTAGAAGCATTTAAACTTCTGAATATATATATTCAACTAGACAGCAATTTTTATTATTATTGATTATTGATTGATTTTTGATCCAGATCACTACCAAAAACTAATCAATTCTAAGTTAACCCATTTCTGACCTACCCTGAAAATTCCATCGAAATTCATCCAAAACTTTTTGAGTTATTTTGATGACAGACAGACAAACAAACAAACAGGGGTGAAAACATAACCTCCTTGGCGGAGGTAATTATATTATTTTCATTTCTCCAGGATCTAGGGTAACAAGAAGGTTTTTTTTTTTTTTTTTTTTTTTTTTTTGCAGCCCCTCTACAAGGGGGCCACTTGTCTCAGTTGCGGCGTAGGCTGCATTCAGAAAAGGGGGCTAACTGGTCCGTGTCAAATATCACTTGAAAGCTATGCCGCATCATCCCCTAATGATCTCCCCGCCCACTACACGGCAAGGCCTGCAGTGGCATCGTAATTTAACGGATTCATTCTCGGCTGCAGGGTTAGAAAAAGAACACAAATGCTAAACTTTGAAAATTGATATTAATTTTTGTCTCGTAAAACGTGATCCCAAGAGAGTCCACTCGATGCCTGTTCTGACGATAAAACACAGTTATGTAATTACAAGATCATGGATTGAAATGCAGGAAGGCCTCTGCGAACAAACGGCACGACACATTAAGATAAACCCCCAAAGTTAAACATAATCTACACATTGAATCAACACTGATGAATTATAATGACGATAATTTTCTGACACGCGTGCTCATTAGGTCTGCAATGAATGATTTTACATGCAAATTTATGCCAAAGATCAAGGCGTAGACAACGCCAGGGTGGACAATATTGATATGGGAGCCATCCAGACAGTCTACGGCAAGGCTATTAGCAGCCTGAGGAGTCCCAAAAATTAAAAAAAAAATTATAAAATTGGCCTGGCTCTGTCGTTGATGATTGTTGGCCAAACTCTCGACTAAATCTCGCTTAATTGCAGGATAATTCACGTCTTAATAGAGCTATCGTGGATGTTTTCTGTTGGGCATGCGCATTATGGACGACTGACTGTCCTCTCTCTATTTTCTCCAGTATACAATATCTTGTAAATATTGAACATGGATACCATCAAAACTTTAATGAATAGATACTGAAATACTATGAAAGGTCACATACATGTTTTACTGATATCTAAATAATTTATATATTTTTTAATCCATGACAGACCTAAATTACATGTAGTTAGGGCTAAAATGCAGGAACAATTTACATAACTTTTATCCACACATTACCTCAATTTGTGTCTAATAATATGCAGAAACATATAATTGACCTGATATTTTCAATTTATTCTAATGAATGTTTATCTGTTTTGGTCCCAATAATAGTTTTAAATATCTAAACGGTTTACAACAAAAATTTTTTAATTTTTTTATTGTGTGAAAGAACTTGGGTATATCATAGAAGAAGAGAATCTCTACTTCTGTGGGTAACTGAGAGCAAATATCAGACAGATTACTGTACAGGGTCATCTGCGTGCGAAAAATACTTCGTCCTGCTGGAGATAAGAGATTGGCGAAGGGCGTCATAACATAAAATGTCCGGCCGTAAGCTACCACTAATATTCCTATGCCATTTATAACCACTTACCTCTCATTTACGTGATGCCCCCCTCCCCGTGATGCCCCCCTCGGGATGTCGTGATGACCCCCACCACTAACTGAATAAAAACCAGTAACTGCCTCAGAACTCGTACGTATATTTAAACACATAATTTCAAATTGGCTTCAGAAGTTTTGGACATGTTTTTCTCCGCATATTTGAGAGCATTCGAAATGGCACGAAGCGACAAAAACACTTCCCATCATGGTTTCCCCCACTGGCATTCGAAGATATTTGCCTTCGAATATCTCCCCCCCCCTCACCTTTCCATTCACCTCACGTCAGATTCCAATATAATTTGACAGAACTTACCGCTGAATTCTGGAATAACAGGCGGCGGTGGTGCTGTCATTCTGCCTTGGTAGTTCGAGTAGACTGGCTATCTGGCTATCTGAAACGCGAATTCTTGAGTGTAAGACCGCATTCACAACGAGTTGAGCCATGGCTCTACAAATCCACGAACTAAATATGGCGGACGTACATGAAAGAAAAACCGCCTGATCTTTTAATAGTCTCTCCGCCTCTCACACGCCTCCCTATGTGTCGTCCCAATGGAGCCGAGATTTAATGACTGAACCCCCGCAGGGACGACGCGTGGGGAGGCGTGTGAGAGGCGGAGAGACTATTAAAAGATTAGGCGGTTTTTCTTACATGTACGNTCATCAGCTTGGTATAGATGTAGTCAAAAGACCCTAATTTATACAAGAGTAAGATCGCATTCACAACGAGTTGAGCCATGGCTTTACAAATCCTGGAACTAAACATGGTGGACGTACATGAAAGAAAAACCGCCTAATCTTTTAATAGTCTCTCCGCCTCTCACACGCCTCCCCATGTGTCGTCCCAATGGAGCCGAGATTTAATGACTGAACCCCCGCAGGGACGACGCGTGGGGAGGCGTGTGAGAGGCGGAGAGACTATTAAAAGATTAGGCGGTTTTTCTTACATGTACGTCCGCCATATTTTGTTCGTGGATTTGTAGAGCCATGGCTCAACTCGTTGTGAATGCGGTCTAAGGCTCTTAACACATCGAGACGTTCACTTCAGCGATATGGTTGCATCCATACACTTTCTAACAGGGCCACGGAGATACAATCTTTCAGTAGATATTCACAGATATTTGTGCGAGTATTTATGTGCACTTTCCTGTAGATCCGTTGTGTTGCCAGCAAGAATGGTTGCACAGAAATGACGTCATCACACAGCTGGCCTCCGGTAGAGAGTAGAACCGGTATGACAGGTATGGTAGTCCTCTAGGTCCAAACACACAAGTACTGTAGTCCCTTGCCCATTACTTTGTACAGGTGACATTCGTCCCATATACTAACCCCAATACTCCGACTATTACCTGTACCTTGGACATAAAAATGTCCAAGTCATATGGGACCCCGGTCATATGGGACTTCCATTCCTAGAATTATCATTTCTGTCACACCGGACATTACGTAAATGGGTCGCCTGCACGGAGTACCCCCGATACGGCCAATTAATCGACTTAACTTAACTTAACAGCAGGGAAGGCAACTCGCTAAGGACTTTTTAAGAGGGAAAGCCCCCCTTAATAAGTCCCCGTAGTAAAATTCCATTTTAGGACCTCTAAAATGTATCGAAAGGAAATGAGTTTTGGTTTACAAATATCTCTCTATATCGTATTATCCCAAACATGTAACACAAAAACAATGTCTAATAGTCCGCCATTCAAACGATTTCAATTTTGGGTTTTAGTTTTTTTCCTAATCACGAATATCAATGACAAGTTCTAGTAATGGCTTTTCATGGAATTTAGCTTATTTCTTCGTTATCCCTCACTATCCCAATTTTTGACTTCTATCCCATTTTTTTTGTTGTCATCCTGATTAAATGTTGGAAGATGAAGTCCATGTACATAAAAGTCAAATTAGTGTTTCACTTCGTTACCAATAACATAAGTGGCCACTTCTCACACGCACATTCATTAATTAATAAACCATACTATTAAAATGCCAACAATATATATATATATATAATAAATGACATATCTGTAACAGAATATAAAACGGCATGAATAAGGTGGTCAATACCGGTATACATACCTTCCAGCAGGATGCTTTCACAAATTAAAGAAGTGATTAGCAAGCCAGTCTAGACCAAATGGCGAACGCACCAGGTCGGCCGCTGTATTCTAACTGCTCCAACCCGACTGACGGAGGAGGAAGTCCGCTGCACGTTTAAGATAGAAGAGGGTACTCATTACAAAGGGGTTTGGGGTGGCTGGGCACTGCGTTATCTTTACGATTGAACTAAAGACGTAATTACATGTTTAAGACATGGCTAAAGCAGTAGTAAATGATAACATTAGTCTCAATGACCATGTCATCCATGTTCGTGACAACTGGTTAAATGATAAATAATTCTTCTTACTAAAATTATTTGTGACGGGAAGAGGGATGTGGTCTCTAGATCTGAGAGTAATTACCATTCTTTCAAGATATTTGCAATTTGCAGATAATACAAATGCATCAATAACTACAGATTTAGACTTTCTGTAATTTTTGTCACTCTTATCAATTGATTAACTTTGATAACAATGAATTTTACTCATAGATGTATCATTTCATACATACCGTCCTGACATTTGTCATTTGTTCATCATTTAATTGTTTATCCGGTGAATCCTGGCGAAAAACACTAAGAAAACCAAGTAAGCTCTCGCGTGTCACATTGGTCCTGCACAAGTTGGCTGAACATGTCTACTCTTGTAAAAAAACGTATTTGGTGTATTATAACAGTATTTAAGTGTGGGCCGAGAGCAATTCCCTCTCACAATTTATAATATAAATAAAAATGAAGTACCCATTATAAAAAGTCAAGCTAGTCAGTGCTTCTTTCTGAATGCTAGTTTTTTAAAAACTAATGTACATACGCACTAATGAATTTTACCAAATATAGATTTAATTTTTGATGGAGCTTGTCCCTTGGAGATATGAAATATCCCACAGTACAATGCGACTTCTTAAGACCGGCCATTCCCGCGCCATTGACATATTCGGTAAACCAGTAGTTTCGAGTTTATAGAATTTTTGTCAACGTTTATTTAACTTATTGTTTTTATTTGCACTAAGGAATGTTTTAGAGCAATTCCAAAGCCCAAATTTTCTTTACAAGTGAACTATATCACATCTAATTGACCTATACTAAAGATTTTGGATTGTTAAAAAAGGGTAAACAAACTTTTGAATTATTAGGCACACATCCTACTTTTAAGTATTAAGTATTAAAATACTATCTACACGCAGAGAGGCAAAGCATGCACTTACACCCCGGGGCCCTATTCGACCCCTTAACAGAGGAAATACCCATCGTTCGCAGACCAGCTGAGAAGAACACGGTGTTCTGTAGCCTTTTCAATGAAAAAAGAAACCGAAGTCTGAACCACTTTCATTAATTTTATTCATTCCTTTGACTCTTTTTTGATAAAACATTCTGAAAATGGTTTAAAATCAAAATTAATTGACAAGTACATGCTACTGGCGTCCTGTCGTATGTGGATTGTATTCCGATTGCATATTTTTATTTCTCAATTTTTTGTCAAAAAAGCAATATTTCTATACTTCGGTTTCGTGGCTATCATTCTGAAATTCTTTGTAACCTCGCTTTGAAAGCCACCAGTTCTTGGTTTCAACATACTAAGAATTATGTATTCTGTAACCTCAAAGTTATATTAGGCCTTATAGTTGGAAATTTGAAAATCAAAATAAAAGAATCAAGAGTTAAAGGGATAATAACTCTTCGTTTTGGCCAAAAAAATGAATTTTCCTGGAGTAAACAATTTTCCCATATTTACCAACGGTTAATGATTCCATTTTTACATTCAAAGTTAGTCCCTGTTTTTTTTTTCTAAAAAGTTTGTTAAGAGATTATAACAGAGTATAGCCATCAATGGAGGTCACGTGGTCTATAAAGACAAGCTCAGATATCCTAATAATAGCTATAACTGCCGTTTTTGTGGTAAAACAGAATATATTATATTTCTGTGAGTTGTTCACAATGTTTTTATTGTGAAATATAGATCTCATACGAAGAGTTATCCCTTAAATTAAAAGAAACCGGCCAGAGGTAATATTTCCGACGTGCTATTAATAGCACACGGTGTAGCCCACGCGATCGTTTTTGCTCATGATGTTGCTGACGTAAGTAAGCCCGTCGCCTGAAGAAGCAAAGGTCGAGGAGCAGTCCCCAGATGACTCGCAGCGATGAAAAGCAAAGCACGTGTAGATGGGCGGAGTGACATTGAACGCAGCCATGGCTAAGGCACGTGCTCCTGAACTAGGATTGCAATCCAACTGATTATTGGACGGCATGTAGGATGAGTAGACGTCACGACACCTAGAATACAACACGACTCGTCAATGGACAATATATTAGTAAAGATACGTATATTGTGCCTAGAATACAACACGACTCGTCATTGTAGGGTAATAATGCTTCTAGTAAAAAGTAGCTCTTAGCAGTCTCATCCCGTAACAAATGCTGTTTGGCACATAAATGTGACTTATCTCGGGCATATTTCACAGTGTGACATTTTGCGTTCGGCTTTACCCTCTCTGGTTTTAATTTTCTTTCTTTCTCTCTTTCTTTCTTTGTCACAAATGTTACCTTAAGTATTCTCATCATCCCTTTTAATGATGAAAGAAACTGTTGTTATTATCCTAACTCAATGACACCTGTCACATTTGATAACTACAAAGTGCTAGTTTCAAGATCACGTATAAAGGCGCAGCACATTTACTTTGACCAAGCTCTGGAACTTGCAACCTGTAGAAGTCACAGTCCCAACCTTAAATGTGTATGAACGAAGACTGACCAAACATTGGAGTAACCAAAACATTAAAAACATCCCTAAAGCTTTTATTTTACCAGAAGACAACGTGTTCGATGACCTGGCGGATCTGGACACAGTTGAAGATCTGGATACAGAGGCTCAAAACGAACCTGCGTCGAGTACCTGCATGGGTAGCTTACCCGTAAGTAAAATATGCTTGTCTTAGACCCCATTTCCAGAGATTAGATCGATCTACTTTAGATCGACCTAACTCCCTGGGGGTTCACGCTAAATAGCTGTCAGCCGGGCGGACTCGAAAGTTAATTACCCCCTTACAGCTTGTAGTAGGCGGGACGGACGTTGATGCCGGATTATCTGACAGTAATCTAGTGAGACTCCCCGCGGGGATAGGTCGATCTAAAAGCTCTGGGAATACAGCCTTAAAAGCAAAACTGCAGTCAGCTTTTAAAATTGTAGTGTTTATTAAAGCAATTCTCAGAAACTTCACTATAAAACGGAAAACTGGTTCTAAAAAGTCCATTCATTTACCTGCTGTATCTAGAATCACTAATCCATCTTCCCCCGCAGCCAGTTGGTCTTCGTCCAAATGACTGACACATATTTCGATAGTCGTAACACCAATCGGACGATGCACTTTTACCATTTGCCGGTACGCGGACCTTGACAGCCAAGAACCGCAGTCCACTGTACGTGACGTTCTTTGTGTCAATCACTTCGAATGCATAATTGGCTAAAGCATACATTTTAAATCGAATGCATGAATATACAGGTACAAGTTGATTTATTTAAAATATAACTGTTAGATACATGAAAGAATGAATGAACTCAATGTAAGAATTAATAGACGATCATTGAAATGTACGATTCATAAATCAACATTTAAATAACGACAACATTTACGACAACATTTAAAAATCGACATATTTCTCGCTCAGTAACTATCTGTACTGTTAACCTTGGAACCTATAAGTAAAATGGGTCCAATTTTGTACGTACTTGTTTCACACGTGGTTCCAGTAAAGTCCACGAGACACGTGCACTGGAACCCATTAACTCTGTCCACACATGTTCCATTGTTCTTACAGGGGTTGTTTGTACACTCATCCATATCTAAAGAGCAAAAATAAACATCTTGTATTATTGTGTATTAGGAGAAGCCTGGCATACTTTTCAGGTACAAAATACACCCATATTAAAAGTCGACATATTTCTCGCTCAGTAACTATCCGCACTAGCTGTTAACCTTGGAACGTACAAGTACATGTAAAATGGGTCCAATTTTGTATGTACCTGTTTCACACGTGGTTCCAGTAAAGCCCGCGAGACACGTGCACTGGAACCCATTAACTCTGTCCACACATGTTCCATTGTTCTTACAGGGGATGTTCGTACACTCATCGATATCTAAAAAGCAGAAAATAAACTGTGTATTAGAAGAAGCCTCACATATTTTTCAGATACAAAAACCACTCATATTAAAAATCGACATATTTCTCGCTCAGTAACTATCTGTACTGTTAACCTTGGAACGTATAAGTAAAATGGGTCCAATTTTGTACGTACTTGTTTCACACGTGGTTCCAGTATATCCCGCGAGACATGTGCACTGGAACCCATTAACTCTGTCATCACACGTTCCACCGTTCTTACAGGGGTTACTGGCACAGTCGTCGATATCTTAAAGAAAATTGAAACGATGAAAATATTTTTATCACTCGGGCTCGTTTCAGGAAGTCCCTGGATCCTTCTGTCGAACAGAAAAAAACATATGAAAATGATCTTAGTTTTGGACATTCTGAAGTTTGACTCCCTTTATTTAATCAGTTGAAGCAAAAATTATTTCATACAAATCATTTCACACTCACCGTACTGGCATTTGTCACCGGAGAATCCCTGTGAACACAAACACTGGGGGAATCCAAGCACATTCTCACACACGCCGTTGTTTTGACAGAGGTTAACTGAACATGCGTCTATTCCTGTCGAATATACATATAGGTCCAACTTACTCATTACAACAATTGCACGTGAATCGTGGGTAGTGCCCACCTCACAAAATTTATGACATGTTTGTTTACTTTTTGTTTGACTGGTCTTTTCAGCAAGATCATAAAGCATATTTGATAGTTATTTTGTCGTGTTGGACCTTTAAGTTAAGCCTATTCATTTGACAGCCCTTTCATACTATTCAAAGTTCGGCTGACATCTTGATAGAGTAATGAATGTAAAATAAAACTTGTTTCAACTCGATTGCACCGCCAAGAAGAACAGTGATGCCATAAAAAAAAATTAGTTATATACTGCAGAAACAAAGAATATAGAGAGAGACAATTGTGTGAATAGAAATAAAGTTTTAAAAAAACAGTTGATAAGTTTCAAACAAATCGATATATATATATATATATATATATATATATATATATATATATATATATATATATATATATATATTAAAACAAATGGATATATATCATATTTCGTTTTTGAAGGCCACCTCTTGGATCTCAGGTGTGGCCTCTGCATGATAAATATTCAAATTCAAAAGAGCGGATTTCGTTATTAATAGTTATGTAATTCTAACTATGGTGCAGAACAGATGAGTCATTTTAATGCGCATGCAGTTTTTATAAGTGAACCCTTCCAGGTGACACCCGTGCATCAAGATCTTCGAACCTCAGGCCCCTGATGTTTTAAATAAATATGATTTTATAAAATGGTAATATTGAAATAATTATTACCGCTCATGTGACCCTTTTTACTTGCACATTCCTTGTATTGCTGAAGTAAGTGGCCGAAATGTTCTTTTGCGAGCGCTAACTTTATATCAAGTTCCGACCCTATCACCGCCGCGGCGTCTCGCTTGCCAAATATGTCCTTAACAACTCCAGCGATGTCCGGTGTAGAAAGAAACTCTGGACAATCTTTAGCAAAAAGGGTGTACAGCTGATTCGTTTGCCTGTTCACAGAATACAGCTGCATCAATTTAAGGTATTGACTACCACGGTCGAATCCATTGATACTTTGGACAACAATGGTCAAAAGAGCAAAAACCCGAAGAGACTCCATCTCCCGCGTAAAATGATGTCAGCTTAAATAACCAAAAACCTTATTGTGAGATCTTTTCCACATGACTGACCCATCCCACACACGCACTGATATGTCTGTATGTGATGCCTATGTCATTTAAGGTTATGCATGAAATAACTCTTATAATATATATATAGGCCAGGCCCGTAGCCAGGGGGGGTTCGGGGGGTTCGAAAGAACCACCCTTTTGTCAGGAAAAGGTCCATTTTGGGTAAAATTTGATCTAGGTACACATAAGTTTCATTGCAAAAGGTCCACTTTTTCAGTAAAAGAACCCCCCTTTTGAATTTGCTGGCTACGGGTCTGTATATATATATATATATATATATATATATATATATATATGCCTATTTTAAAAAGCAGTAGGCCTAACGCTTGTGTTGCACCTTCCTCCTTTAAAAAGCGGGTATTATCGAATTAAGTATTAAGTATGCAGAAATAGATCAAAACGTGTTTTAACCTTCTGTGTATGGAGTGCATGCAAAATTCTACGTGGGTCGGTGAATAACAAAGAACAATAGGGCTTACTATAAAAATTAGTAGGCCTACGCATGACGAACATCTTCTACGCGAAATAAAGAATACGTCGGCAGCCCTTGTCCCTTCGCTTCTAGCCAATCAGAAGAGGCCCCGTTCAGAATGGATGATCCGAGTACTTACTGTTCTGCCGACTAAATATGGCCGACCACAGTTCAAAAGAGATGCCGCTGATTCCTGATGGTCTTCCCGCCTCCACACGCGCCGTCGCTGCAGGGGCCTAGCAATTAAACCTCTGAGCACAGATTTAATCCCTTTAAAGGGGCGTTTGAAGTCGAACCCCATTCGGAACTGTTTTTAGGTAGTAAAACCCTACCAAAATTAAGATTCCTTCCTGCATAGGCTCTATGTCATTCAGTTATAGCTAGCCTACCATGCAAGTGTCGGAGGTGTTATATACTAGGCTCTACTTCTTTCTGTTCTTCAAAAGACGCCTGGTCATGACTGTTTCATAAAATTAGGCTACCGGGTGGGTATATGCATTCTAAACGTTGTCTAGCAGGGTCCACATACATATAGACCAGACCCTATACATCAAAATCGAAATGACCGCGCGATCTGTCACTTTGTTCCTTGACACGGTGTCTGACACTGATTGGTCAATTTATAGCAGCACTGTGGTAATATATTCCTTCATCCGCTACACAAAATAGTTAGAAAATATGGTAAATGGACAATTGATTTGTTGATAAAGGTTGCGTAAAGAATATTTGAACAAGGTTTTCTTGCAGTTATACAATTTATGCACCTATAGCATGTTTAATTTGTGCATGCTGTCTTTCTATTGTTGAACTATTTTGACCTAATAATCAGAATTGATATCCTTCCGCAAAGACGAGAAATGGCTGCCACGCGTGCACTTGCCGGTTTCTTGGTTGTTTTAGCTTGCATCTTCTCTGTCTATGCAACAGGGAAGAAGACTTTGGTGTTGGTGGATAACTGGTCTATTCGTGAAACACACTCGATTTTCTTCAGGTCGTTAAGAGGTGAGAATGCAGATGTACACCCAAGGCACCGTACACTATACCCCCCCAGCCCTTAATCCTTGTTTTCTCCCGAATGATTCCTAGCGGCAGGGAAAATTGTGTGTAAAAATCCAAGCAAACATATATTTTAGTGTTATCTGGAGTGTTGAGAAACATTGTGCAAGATTACCGTCATTGCTTTTAATTTTCCAGAGCGTGGATTTGATCTGACATTTAAGACTGCAGATGATGCTAGCTTGGCTCTGATCAAATATGGAGAGTTTCTCTACGACAACTTGGTCATCTTTGCTCCCTCTGTGGAAGGTATGTCACTAAGATTTAACCACACTTTATTGTTAGTAATATATGTATAGGATCTTCAGATTTTCTTTGTTACTGTTCCTTATAACTAGGTTAAAATTTAAAGACTTTGACTTGAGATGTCTCATGGCAAGCCGATTTCAATATTTTCATGGTCAATAAAAGATATGATTATTTGTGTATTTATAAAGAATTACATTTGTTATCATAACCATATCTTGTAGGTATGTAAATTGCTTCAAAATTATTTGTCAGTTTGCTAGAATACTAGAGTTATCACTGGCCTCACAGCAGAGTACCAGTAGAATTGAACCCCACTCCAGTGTAAATCAGGGGCGGATTTAGGCCATCTTCTGGGTCTTCCGGAAGACCGTCAGATTTTCAAGTTTACATAGACGGGTATCGATCTTTTTCTGTCGGAAACGGTCAAAAATGAGGATGGATCAACAAAGATACTTTGGAAGACTGTCAGAAAATATCTCTGCATCCACCCCTGTAAAATGGATCAGTCTGTTCCCTGCCTGATCACACCTACTTTACAACCTTGACATTTATTTTCTGTTCAAAATAATAGAGCCAATTATGTTACAGAGAGAATTGATTATTTGCATATGTTTATCTTTCCCCCCAGAATTTGGAGGCAGTCTGGACGTCACCGCCATCACTAACTTCATAGACGGTGGAGGCAATGTCCTGGTAGCTGCCAGCTCTGCTATCAGTGAGTATGGACAACCTATTTCTGACAAATAAGACAGATAAAAAATAACTATTAAATAATAAGTTTTAATAGCATTCCTTTTCTGATCAGAGTTGCATTTCTTGACTTTTATCAGTGAAGGATGAACAAAGCTTATTTCAATACAATTGGTTTACTAAATATTTTTTGCAACCAAATAAAGTTGTTAACCTATAATACAGATATAAAGTAATTTTCATTTTTCTTAAAAAACATTTTTGAAATTAATTTAACAACTGGCAAGTTTTTACACAGAATTTTTTCAATTGTACAATAAAGAAGGAAAAAACATTAATTTCATAAACTGACATGTTTCTCATTTTCCTCTTTACTGTTGAAACCAATTTTCATTCTCAGTTGGAATTTTTTTATGAAGTGTAAAAATACTATTTACAACAATTACAAATGTTCATTTTTAACATGATTATTTGTTTCAGCTGACCCAATCCGTGAGCTGGGCAGTGAATGTGGAGTGGAATTTGATGAGGAGAAGACGGCAGTCATTGATCATCTCAACTATGATGTCAAAGATGAAGGCAAGGTATGTTACGGTGCATGCATGCCTACACGCACACACTCATAGAGTGAGAGTGTTATCTGTGTATCAGAGAAAAACGTCCTTTATATTGGTGAGAAAATCCAGATGTTTGTGAAAAAATTTGATAAATTATGAACAATTAGCTCTTACTTTTTGAGATTTTTTTTTAATGGTCCACTTCTGATTTACGTGATAGAACACATGCATGTTCACACTCATGCACACACACGCACACATTTTTACTTTCTGCTATATAAGTTATGTGTCCTGTTATTTCCAGCACACCCTCATAGTCACAGACCCCAACAACCTACTGGAGTCTGAACTCCTGGTTGGAAAGAAGACATCAGTGCCCATGTTGTACAGAGGAGTTGGGTTAGTAGTTCTCCACTCTTTTCTTGAATGTTTTTTAACCCCTAATTTGGCAACACTTGTATCTTTAAATGTTTTAAATATGGTAAATGCTTTGCTGGAGGGAGGAGATGAATTAAAGGTGACAATGATTTTATTTGTAAATTATGTAATATTTTTGCCAGAAAATTATCCATTTAGTCAAATTCTAAACTGGGTCTTTTTTCTCCTATCAAATACTTTAACATGGCTCTTATTTAAGGTTAATGTAATATATAGTCTCTGTATCTCATGACTTTTACTGTGCAGGATGGTCGCAGATGTTGACAACCCTCTGGTTCTGAATGTCCTTCACGGTTCCTCTACGGCCTACAGCTTCAACCCTGATGACAAAGTCAGCGAGGTAGGAGGTAGACTGATAGTTGGTAGATGACTCGGTCTGTCAATTAGAAATTAATATGTAATATATGCCTGTGACTGTAAAACTAGCCCTACGTCAAATGCCAGGAAAATTTTTACTGGATCATGAGAATTTTATAATTTTGTTTATTTATCGACAATTGTATTCTACAAAGCTTAAAACCCTGCTTAAAAAGTCAGTGAGGCAGGTAGACCTCTTCTGTTTTAAATTAAAAAAATTAATTATGCAATGACAGATCTCTATGAATCAATTAGGTTGCGACCTTATTGTTCTCTTTTTTAACATTTGAAGTTTAATGTTTTCTGTGGAAAAAAAGTTTTAACAAGGACCATTTTATTTCCAGTACCCCCATGCTGTGGGTAAAAACACCCTGCTGATTGCTGCACTCCAAGCTAGAAACAATGCCAGGGTAGTATTTGTGGGATCTCTGGATTTCTTCAGTGATGAGTTCTTTACTGCGTCAGTACAACATGCCGTCACTGGACAAAGGTGAGTCTCACCTGGAAAAGCTTGAAGTCTTCTATATCCAGACTAAAACAAAATTATCACAGGTGAATGCTGTTACTAGTACATAGCATAAGTTAGTCCAAGTCGGTGATCTTTTTAGTGTTCACATTGCAGTTATGATTTTTACTTTCAGTCTTGCCAAACCAGTGCTCTCTCTATTGTTCAGGGTGAACTTCTGATTTATATAATTAAAAAAGACCAATGTTATATAGTTTATATGCACTAGTATAAGCTATGATATTATATATTAAATTTTTCAGTCTTCAATTTGCTAGATAATTGTTTAATATTATGATGTATTATCCTTGTTTAAATAACGATATTGTATATTATATTTAGTATATTGTACATATATTTTCAGTATATTGTATACATATTTTCAGTATATGACTCAGTATATTGTTAACATATATTCAGTATATTGTGTTGTATATTCAGTATATTGTTTATATAAATATATATATTTTTTCAGTCATGCCCAGTCCGCCAACCAGCAGGTGGCCACCAGTCTGTCACAGTGGGTGTTCAAGGAGAAGGGAGTGCTGAAGGTCGGCAAGGTTTTCCACGCTAAGAAAGGAGAGAAGTCGCCACCAGAGGCTTACACCATTATGGACCAGGTGGTAAGTAGGCAGGCAGGCTGACAGAGACAGACAGTACCACTTAAGCAGGGTTGACATTTCACCACTAACGATGTGTTTTTAGGATATAGTGATAAATGGACGTATGGATGGACAGACAGAGAGATATCCCCACTTGAGGTGTATTCTGTATAGGATAAAGTGTTAAATAGAAAGACTTACAGATGGACCACAATTAGGATCAAGTGATAAGGAGAAAGACTTGAAGGCAGACAGACAGACAAGGTGTTAACAGTTGCACAGACAGACAATTAAAGCAGCATACTGCAAAGGATACTACCTAAAATTTTAACATGAAATTGCATAAATCTGTATATCATATTAGATTTAGTTAAAAAATGATGAAAACACTTCAGAGAAAGTTTCAGTAAACACATCTCATTTTGATTCATTTCTCCATATGTGACATGATTTAATATTATAACTATTTTCTCCAGACCTATTCTATCGAGATTGAAGAGTACAAGGAAGGCAAGTGGGTGCCTTTTGATGGGAAGGATGTCCAGTTGGAGTTTGTCCGCATTGATCCCTTTGTCAGGACATTCCTCAAGGCTAAAAGTATGTTTCTCTCTGATACCATGATATAATAATGATAATACCTTATTAAGTAGAATTTTCTTTTGTCACCAGTTACCTTTACTGAAAAAAAAATTCTGAATTGTAAATTTTTTGCTGAGCTTAAATGTACTCACTGTCAAGATGCAGGACCTACTCGTTTTTTGAGTTCCAAAGAAATGTGTTAGATTTTGTTGATCAAGCTAGAACATGCTAATTGCTGGATTTCTTATTTTATGTAAAAAATGTCTGTGGTTGGTTTTCCAGAAGTTTAAACTGAAAATTTGGACTTAAAAACCAAAATAGTACTCCACTTCAGTATCTGTGGAAGTCCACTTAATAAGTAACTACTGCAGCTCTAAAATGTTAGCCTTTAGTAAAACAAGTCTGCAGTGGACTCCCGAAATTTTCTTGGATCTAAAAATTGAGACACAAGTTTCTGTGTGATCTTCTCTAAGGTTTGTCTTGGCTTGGCTATAACCGTGACATTTTCCCTGTCTTTCCAGATGGTAAATTTTCTGTGGACTTCAAGCTGCCTGATGTGTATGGTGTCTACCAGTTCCTGGTGGACTATAATCGTATTGGTTATACACATCTGTTCAGTACCACACAGGTAAATATTAAAACTTACTTGTCACCTCTTTTAAGGAGGTTTTGTTTGTTTGTTCATTATATTTTGATGAAATTTGCAGGATAGTTCAAAAATTGGGCTAACTTTGATTTGATTAGATTTTGGTGGTAATCGGTTAGTTAATAAATAGAATTGAGCTGCCTTAGTGGTGGGCTGCGCATTCTAGTGCTTTTTAGTGCAGCAGTGTATTCATCAATGTGCAGTAAAAAAAACAATTGATAGTGCCCTATTGTAGCAACATTATAACTCTGAATGGTATACAATGTTTTAGTTGTATCTTCTGTATTGTTTACTTGCAGGTATCTGTGCGTCCGCTTGAACACACCCAGTATGAACGCTTCATATCGTCTGCTAACCCGTACTACTTCAGTGCATTTTCAATGATGGCAGGAGTCTTTGTATTCAGTATTGTATTTCTACACTACAAGGAAGACACAAAGGCAAAGACTGAATGATGAAAGTGGATGCTTATTGAAGGATTTACTCGCAAGATTGAACTAGTTCTGTTTATTATCAAATTTTTTTTATGTTTTGGAATTTTAAAGACATTTCATTGGTACACAGATTTTGGTTAAATGTGCTTTCTTACACGAAAAAGGAAAATTGACCAACTAGTTGACGTTGTAAAGTAATATCAGTTAGACTGGCAGTGAGAGTTCTTTGTCTTAAGTGCTTTATAACTGGTATAATGTCCACTAGCAAAATCATTAATTTTGAAGATTTCAAATGTGTAAAATTCACTTTTGTGGAATTTTGTACAGATGAAAGTGTTTGCGGAATAAAAAAAATATCAGAACCATTCAGTCGTTTCCTGATTGCTTTGCTGAATACTTTATATAGACTAGATGTAAGACATAACATGCTTATCATTAGAAGGCAAGTAATCCTAATTCGGGGGTATGAGGGAGGAGGGGATATTAAAGGGAAAGACGCAGACTCGAATGTCTGTTAGCATGTTACAATGTATAAAGATGCCCCTGCCAGAGCCCAACATTAAGTGAATGGGTCACAGTCCCAGGTAGATCTTTGTTCTCCATAGTGAAGGAGGGGGAGGGGCAGAGTATGAATGGGAAGGCTCATTTTGGAGAGAAACTGGACATATTATAGTAATGTTGTGACTAGATGTTGTTAATACCACCCATTGGCTAATATACACTAATATGTGGTCAAAATTTATTATGGCCATCATGATTTTAAGGGCTTCTGTCAGAATGTAGTTGGATAGCAGGTCTTAATTGATCAAAAAAACCATCAGCTAGACAGTAGTGATAAAATAAAACTTGACATCTTCTTTAAAATGGTTTGATACAATATATACTCTTTATTAGTCTTTATTTCACTATCATTTATGCTGTATGACATTTGAATTTCCTGTCAGTGTTTTTCAACGATCCTCCACCTGTCTGGTTAAAGCATGAAGATGGAAGCATTTATCTGCATGAAGTTCATTCCCAAACACACATACAGCTATTCACAGACAACATTTATACCACTGGACTATTATGCCCCTGAAACTGGACAGTTTCATAGGAACAGTCAGCCAGATTTCTCCAATTAACATTTGGTCTATCAAAATCTACAGTACTGTGAAGGGGATCCCTATATAATCTGGTCTTTGGTGGTGTCACATGATATAGTTCTAAAATGTTCTTTCTGTGAATTCTTCATGACTGCAACTTGCTATGATAAACCCAGCACACACCCTGCCTGCATCTGCATGTCCAAAACATGGAGCAGTCTACTTTTACTCACTTGACAAACATATATTCTTTGAATAGCACTACACAGGCTGCCACTGTCATTTTAATGTCAGTCAGAGTCTCATCACTGCTCATTCACTTAGTTTATCCCAAGTAATACAGATCAGATCTTGACTCAAACAATTTCCATGGAGAGAACCTTCTGGCTTCTCAATACTGGAAACTTCTCTTGGTCTGAATATCGTCAAGTATCTGCTGTAGTTCTTCATCTTCAAATTTTTCTTCCAGACTGAAAGAAAGAACAATACAACTTGATTCTTTTAAAATATTTGTTGAATTATAATGTCCAATGACTTGCAATTCAATAAAATCTTTCAAGCAGACCAAACATATCAAGAAGGGGTGGAACTCAAAATTTTTATCCTGTTTTTCCTGTAAAAAAAAAACAAACAAACAAACAAAAAAAGGCATTACAGGATATTTCATATCAATGAGAGCACACAGAAAACAATTCCATCATGCTTTCCTAATTACCACAAATAATTGCAAAGAACTGCAAATATTCATTCTAAGACAATAGCTCTGTCAGGATTTTTATTAACAAAGGATATCAATAGAACTGGTTGTTTACCTTGGTATAAGGGCCTTAGCTTCATCAGCATTTTCTGGACATAGGTTGGCTAAAGCTGCCAGCTCAAACTTATGGAGCTTCTTCTGCATAAGCAAGCTGAAATTTGAATACTGGAATTGTCATTACTCATTTTACACAATATTTAATTAAACCATGCATTTGTAGGATTTTCTTGCAGATATGGTCTGACCTCTCTTCACATCTCATTTCCCCATTTATTTTTCAAATAAATTCTTGTTGACACAAGGTTGTCATTTAAAGGCACCTGCAAACAACAAAATTATGTTATAGACTACTGACTACAAAAACCTCCAATCTCTACAACATATTTATTGATTTGATGACCTTTCACAGTGTGTGTCAAATACAGGGGAATTTCATGCTTCTCACCTTCTGACAGCGGATATTGTTTCTCTGTTTTTGAACTTTGTGAATCTTGATGTGTAGTTTAATGTTTTCATGAACACTTCTGATAATTCCTGCTCTTCCTCTGCACTCTCATTCTGTTGTTTTCTGTAAAAAATGTCAATATAATATACTAGTATACTATAGAGAAGATCCTGTAATTGAAACTTTTAAGTTGACAAGGTCTGAAGCCTTCTGCAGAAAACTCTTCTTTTTATCCCCAATAATGAAATGAAAACAATCATAATCTCATGAGTGCATTTCAAGCATTTTAAGGGTGCACAATCCATATATTCTGCTTGATACAGATCTAAAGAGTGTCTTATTTATGTAACTTTGGAAGTAGGGCAGTATATACTTTGAATTTTTGATTCCTATAGATTTCAAAAAAGTCAAACAGAACAGAAAAAAGGAACCGATTATTTTTTTATTCAAGCCGAACTCGGAAGAGGTGCAACTTGATTGGCTTTGAGAACTTTACGGTCATGTCAAACGGTCAGATACGGGAGGATTGTGACATGATTAACCTAGCTCTCAACTACGTACCTGTGTTCTAACAACATCTGAACTTCAGAGATCAGGAGGGTCTCGGCATTTTCAAATTCTGGAAAAATACAATGGGGTTTTGCTACATTTCTCGTACAAAAGACAAACATATAACAACTCAATGAAAACTATAATTAGTTATATTTCATAAATTCTGAAATAGTCAATTTGCGTACCAATCATTACAAAAACGATGAAGTTTGAAGTCCAACATTCAGTATGTGAAACTAACATCGTTAGCCGGGACTAGGTGTATTTAAATAAATGAAACGTTGTCAAATCTATGAATTTTTGTGGTAATTCTTTGCACTAGTGTCCACCCAAGGACTATAGATACGACGTAAATACCTTTAGGAAAGCGTAATTCTGAGGCATCTTCTTCTTGTTGCTCGTTCGGTAAATTCGCAGCGGCCATGCTTGCCGGAAGTTGTCCCCCCCACAATGCACTGGGGTCTTTATTGACATAATGCAGAATGCACGTTTCAACAAGGTACAATCAGCTACATCAAAGGCACATACATCTAACTACAACGCTGTACAAATAAATATCACAGAGTTACAGATTTAAATAAGCATCATCACAGATTTAAATAAGCATCATCACTACATATATAGATCAAGTATTTTATAACCATAAGCTATAGCCGCACCCCAGCAAACTCGATATGTTTTGAAGTACCAGTCTCTGTAATGATGAGAATCAAAGTAACACAGGGGCATTGGAAAATTACCCTATTAGATTTTGTTTTCTTTTAATTTATTGTTAAGACTTATGCCAAAAATTAATAAATCGACGCAAAAAAATTGCATGTTTAAAACTATTAATTTTTGAGAGCGTTTTATAATTATAGCTAGGCTTGAAAATTTCCTCCCATATGCTTTAATTCCCATTTAAAATGTTCAGGTAACCCATTTTCACCGAGAAATAACTCGTATGGCCGTTGTAATCATATAAACTGGCTATATAATTGATGTTTACAACATATATTCAGGCACCAAACACGTTGTATTCTGGGTAGGCACCCTAGCCTAATGCCGAGACAACTACTCACAGCAGCAGTGGGGATCGCGCCAGCATCGTAAGCAGGCCCGTAGCCAGCTGGGGGGTTCGGGGGGTTCGAAAGAACCGCCCTTTTTGTCAGGAAAAGGTCCATTCTGTGTAAAATTTTGTCTAGGTACACAAAGGTTTCATTAAAAAAGGTCCACTTTTTTAGAAAAAGAATCCCCCTTTTGAATTTGCTGGCTACGGGCCTGGTAAGTGTAGGCCTTCTCACCCTTTCTCACTACATAGGCTACATATAGGTCCATTTGAAGAAAACAAAAAAGTGAAAAATGAAGTAAAAGATAAATACACGAATTCTTTTTGACAATATACTAACAAAGACTAGACTAAACGCTATAGGGGTACGAGAAGCACGTTTATTTTACTGACACGTAGGCCTACATTTTGTAAACTCCATGTAGGCCTATATTTTTCACAATGCCTGGTAACATGTATTTTGTGTAGATCAAATATTTGACTGCATATGCCCTGTCACCACATCGTCTTGCTTATAGTGGATGTAAATGACTTGAGGATTTTATTAATGACTAACATATTTCAAAAAAGAAGAAAAAAAAAACAGTAAAAAGAATGATCTGCGCCAAAAGACGGACATATAGAGCCTACTGTATACAATACGCAACGAATTTTTTAACGCATCACCGCGAAAGTAGCCCCAAGCTGTTTTTGAATTATTTAAACAATATTCTAGACATTATCGCAGACGTTAGACGCCATATATAAAGTTGCTTCTATCCTGGCAAGCTACAAATTTTCTACTTAAGTAAAGAATAAACTATATCGCTATATCGATTTGGGAATAATTAACGTCAGATGGTGCTGCAAACGAAACTAACGAAGTATTAAAATTTAGGCCGTTTATGTTTTTTTGAGAGAGAACGGATAAATCTAGTAATTAATGTTTTTTTTTATTTTTTACGTTTCTAGACTGATGTTAGTTAAGTTTCATTGAACAAGCAGTTCTTCTGCTCGCTTAATTTAAATGAAAAATAAAAAAGTTACACGGATCTAGGGGCCTAAATACTGAGAATGAACGATTTATTAGCAAATTGCACTGTTACTGAAGCTAGCTTTTATAATTTTGGGCCGGGGTTAATGAAAGTGTAATTTTTACAAGCAAAATTTTTTTAAAGCTAACATTATTTCTTTTGTTTGTTATTATTACCTGTCGTTGATCACGAGTCCCTGACACACAGAGTGAGTTCCTAAGACCTGTGCTTTCTTATCAGATATATAGATGCCGGATTAGTCCATAATTTTGTAAGGTTATCCAGGCCATAAGAATGGTTTAAACCAGAGACCCTATATAAATACTCCAGATGAAGATAAGGATTTGTTCTCTAGATACAGCTGTAGCAATATTGGGGGCACCGGTGACTAAAGTAAACTGACCATTGTACATTACTTGGTACATTGTAGAGGTGGCACCAGTACGACAGTATTTGATAGACAAAGATAGGAACTACAAGTGTTTTGCAGAGGTTATAGGCAATTTTAGTGGGTGCTGAGAACAACTGGCTCCGAAGTTTTAAAGAGGACTTTTGATCAGTGCTTTGTTTTTAAAGTTTTCTATCCCCTTGGTGACTTAACCAGATGGGGTGAATTAAGTCACGCCAATTAAGGTAACAATATTCGGAGGTTGTTTCTACCGGGTTAATAAATTCCAAAATTGAATTTGTCAATTTTGAGGAGATGGTCGGACTTAATTTAAAATAATGACTTAAGTTTTAGCATTGTTAATTCACCGGAATGACAGCAAAAATCACGTGAGTTTGCATCGTTATCCGAACTAAAGATAGCTTGATTCCATCGCTATCGCGGAGGATAACGCTTTGATTTAATTATCAAATGAACTTTCTCTATGAGTCACTGACGTGTCTGTTACTATTAATCTGAAGTATTAAATAACCAACTCGACTCCTTTGAACAGTATTTTGTGTCCGACAATGTACATGATCCGCTGAGACAGGGGAGTCAGCTGACGCGAAATTCAAATGGAGTCGAAGGAGACGAGCGAACGTGAACCTCTGCTTTCGAAAGAAGCAGCTCACGCATTAAATGTGAACGATGACAGTGACACCGAAGAGGAGGATCTACGCAAGAAAGAGAAGACGTTAACTTTGTCACAAGTGGTGAAACAAAAAGCTCAGGTATGGGGTCGGGATTCTATTACTAGTAATTCATTTAACTAAAAAAAAAAAAAAAAAAAAAAAAAAAAAATCTGCTCAGTCACGAGACTTTGAGTGGAGAAGATGGGGTTGAGGGCTTATCAGAGGAGTTCATTTAATTTTAAATGCATGGCATAAAATGATAATAAATTAGTTTCAGATTACTAGTTACATTTTAGTGGGTGTTTTCACTCCTCTTAAAGTAACATAATTACAATTATACTGTAAAACAATGTCAACATATTCCATGAATATGATATTGCACTTCGATGTTTAGTAAATTCTTATTTTATCTGTTGTATACAGTACATGTAGTGTCCCCACTGCAGAAGTCTGGTTATATTAATAAAATATATTGATTTTACAGTCATCGTTTGAACCCTGCCCCCCCCTTTCCCCACATACAAATTTACATGTTGGATTCTAGTAGTCTTAATTGAAACATAGTTAATGAAATCCAATGTGATACCCCAATGAAATTTAATTTATATATACTACACTTTCAATGAAAGTTTCATAAGATGAAACAATATTTTAATGTATAAGAGAAGTACAACTATGGAGAGAAATATAGAGAATTGATATCATATTATAGTATGTTTTTGTCTTATATTTTCATTCCTAGGGCAGGAAGAAGGTATTGATATTGTATCAATTAGCATTATTGGATTATAAATTCTATTATGAAGTTTTAATTAACGTAGTTGCACATATTGGTAAAAGCACTGTGATACATGTAGTGTATATATACCTGCAGTATATATTAGTATCAATATGATAACATTTGAACCTGTGGAATTATCATTTAAATGAATGCCTATGTTGAAAATAATAAAATGTCCATCACTGATTATAATCATGGCAACAAGTAGCGAAAAAGTGATTCAGTATTATGTAGTAAATCTATAGTGTTATAGATAAGATAAAGAAATGGAGCCACTCGTAATTTCAACAAATTGTCTCTTACAATTAGCAAAGATATGAAATGCAGGTGTCAGTGTTTATATATAATGTTAACATAATCATCATCATCATCATCATTTCTCTCTCTCTCTCTCTCTCTCTCTCTCTCTCTCTTCAACCTTAAATATGATATTATACATGATTGCACTGTCTCCATGTATATCTCCACAATATCTTAACTGAGTACACTATATACATATGTGTGATACTCTGCCACTATCTGAAGCAACAGAGGGACTAGGACCTCTGATATCTGTATATATATATATACATAACCAATCTCTCATTTAATGAAGATTGCTGATTGAAATCAGAAATTATCACAAACACTGACGCTCAGGGTAAATATTAATAAATTCTAGTTAGGTACATTTTATGTAACTGAGACTATATATTATTATCTAACACTCTGAGTAGCACCTTTAACCCTGATCATTTATGATAGCGTTTGGAAGCAGGTTCAGACTGGCAGAGGGAGTCACTCATATGTACACGGTATATTGTGACACTCAGGGTAACAATCTGTATTAGACTTTATTAATAACAAGGCCCCAAAATATGATTCGTATTTAATACTCAGTGTACATTGCCACAGTTTTGAAGACAGTGTGGGTGAAATAATTATATTCCTGTAACTGTTATCTCATATATCAGATATTGTTTTATGTAATCTGCATGCTTTTATCAATCATAGATAATTAAAGAGGTGGTGGATGCCAAAGTAATCATTTAATGGAGTTCTAGTTATTGACTTTTGTTTTGATCATCAGGAAAATATATATAAATAAAGACTGCGTTCAGATTCAAACATCATATCAGCAGGATGGATCTGTGGGGGATTCTCGCTAAATTGCATCAACTTAATGAATTATCTAACACATCTCCTTGATGGATAGGGGGTTATTAAATTTCATTAGGATTGAGCATAATTATCCCTATAAACAGCTTGAGGAGGTTTGTCAGATATTTAAGCAAATTACAGTGATTGCACTGAAGGAGAATCTTCCGCAGAGTTGGATCAATCCAGCTAGTACAGTGGATTTATCTGTATGCTCCCTAAAAATTTCATCTACTAGTAAGCACCAGGTTGTGGTATACAGGGGTAGCACATACTATAAGTATTTGTCTTGAAGTGATTTTTCTTGTGGTGATGGGTTTATAAGATTGATTGAAATAAATATATATATGTATAATCATAATTACTTATATCATAGGGGCATTTTATAATGCATTTTTTCTAAATAATCAGAAGTAATAAACTGTTTACATATCTGTGTGTAATAAGTGTGTATACAGTCTAATATATGAAATACATTTCATCAAAATCAATTTTGAACAGATGTAAATACATGAATGTCAGTTTAATTAGAAAGAGTTTCATGGATGAAATGAAGTTCATGGCTAGAAAATGCCTAGAACCACATTTTAGTTATAGTATTCATATAATAACTAATCATTCCTCTTAATGAGCACAGGAAAAAAATAATAAGTACAATTTCATTCTGCTACCAAAGATACCACTGGTAATTTTTTTATTGCTTTTTGTCAAATATAAAAACGAATAGTAACAAATTTTCTTCCCTTTTTAGGCGTTGACAGGCCCCCTGGTGTTGGCCATGTTTGCAGCAGTTATTGGCTGTTCATTTCAAGTGGGTTATGCAACAGGTGTGCTCAACGAGCCTCAGAATGTAAGTAGATTGATGCCTGTTTTTGAATAGGAACGAACTTATATTAGACCATATATAAAAACTTACTGTTATTAATATATGATATAACACAATGAATAAATTAAACAGCTTAAAAAAGGAAATCTGAAACAGATTGTTTGCATAAAAGGATCCAGAAAATGTGTTAAAAATTATTTTATTTATTTAAATTGGTAAAATGCTGCATTCCAGTTGCTTTGTAATGATCACTAGATGGGAAGAGTTGTGGAAAACTTCTGTTTATAGGGTAACTATATGTTGTGTGATGTGTAAAAATACATAAATAATCTTTAAAAAAACAAACAATTTTTATTTATGATAATATTTACAGGTACTTAAAGAATTTATCAATGCCACATGGTGTGAAAGGTACCACTCCTCTATCCACCCAGACGTCCTACTGATACTCTGGTCAGTGATAGTGTCCATATTTTGTGCAGGAGGTATGGTGGGAGGGTTTGCAGCCGGCTACTTGGCCAACCATATTGGAAGGTATTTTGATGTCAGTAAAATTAATTACTTAAGGCAATAGAATTTAATTATAGAGTTGATTACATAGTTAAGCCTTCTAGTTGCAGACCTTTGGTAAAATCACCAAAAACAATTCAATCACACACCAAAAACAAATTCAATCACAGACTGCTTTATAAAATTGAAATGAAAGAAGATATTAATTTTGGTCTGCACACATCACAAAAGAATTCTGATATTCCAGTCAGATGAATGTGATTGGATATTCTAGTATAAATCAGGGTAATTTTTTAAAATATTTTTATTTCATTTCACAGAAAAAATGCAATGATGATAATTAACATCATTTCCGTAGCTGCCATTGGCTTGCAAGCTGGTGCCAAATATGCCAAATCATTTGAGATGATCATAGTGGGACGCTTTTTAATAGGGGTACATTCAGGTAGGATAATCTTTATAAGAATTCACGGATGGATTAAGCATCAAACAACCAACCTCCAAACTCTTTGCTTCAAATTTATTTTCTGAAGGCTGTTCTTGGACAATTTATCAATATTTGTGAGTTGTATTAAAAAAACTGATAATATTATCATAACTATGATGCAGCGATTCCAACAGCTGATACTGAAACTTTAAGCCTCATGTACACACTGAGATTCAGAGCAGCTTTGAAAAGTCTTTTTATTGATACACTTGTGAATGATTACAGAAAAAGCAGGAGTAAGGGCTTGACTGAAGTGCAGTATGTCACATCTAACACAATGTCACATCTAACGCAATATTATTGCTCAACAGAATATCACATCTAACACAATTACTGCAATATGCATTTCTAATTTGTACAATTGTGACAATTAAGCTGTGACATTTTCAGTATTTCTCACAAAATCTGCTGGTTATTTGTTCCCTTGCAGGTTTGAGCACAGGTGTTGCCCCTATGTACCTGAACGAGATTGCCCCCCTGACTTTGCGTGGGGCCATGGGCACCATTAACCAGCTGTTTATAGTTTTGGGCATGGTTACATCACAGGTGTTAGGACTCAAAGAGATACTAGGCACAGATGATTTATACCCATATTTATTAGGTATGTTCATGTTTATATATGGTGTCCTTACAGTACTTTAAAATGTGAAAGATTTATTCCATTCAGATTTCCTTTTTTATTTTGCTTCTCTTCAAGTTGGTGTTGTATCTGAATATTTAAATCACAATTTATGATATATGTTTTATCTATTTTGAAATAGTGGATATGATAATGGTTCAATCATTTCAACCAGGAAAATTGTGGATTTTACAGAACCTGTATAAATTCTTAAAATGAGAACATTCCTATTGAGTGGTAGCAACAGGATCAAAAAGCAAACTACCTAAGGGGCCCGCACACGGTGAGCATTTGGCGCGCGCCACTTGCGCTGCGCCAGATGCTCGCGCTCCTCGGCTCCCCGCAAACGATGCGCTCTTTGCTCAGCAGAGCTGCCTCCCGGCCTGCCCCTAGCGGACGCACTGTGAACTGTGGGATCATGTGTTTAAGGAAACATTACATATTGTTGTTTTTTTCTGATAGTAATGGATAATGGTGACCACGTTAATCAATTAGACTAACTACATGTATAACTGTGTACATTTTTGTTGACTTCGCTGGGGGCTGCCGTTTTTGTTTGTTTCCGGCTACTGGCACATGCGCATTGTTAGCATGGCGTGAGCAATCGGCGCTTGCACCCCGCACACGCTGAGACATTTGAGTCAAGAGACCAAAAAAATAAAACACATGAGAAATTTTGCTCAGCCGCGCGTGAGGCAAAAATCTCACCAAAATACCCCCGCACATGATGAGAAAACGGCGCAGAAAAATGCTCACCGTGTGCGGGCCCCTTAATAGTTGTATTCTTTACAATAAAAGCCCAAATTGTTACAAAGAAATATATTTTTAATGATTTCAAAATTTTGTGTCTGAAAAATTGATAATCTTTCCCAGTTGATATAATAGAGCCATTATACCTTACTTCCCTTCTTAAAGCAGACATTTTCTCCTGAGTTAATTATTATCTGCTGTCAACAGGTGCCCCTGCAGTTGCTGCAGTGCTACAGTTGGTCCTGCTTCCTATGTGTCCTGCCAGTCCCAGATATCTACTGCTTAATAAACACCAGGAGGAGAAGGCACGCAAAGGTTTGTAAATACATAGTGGGGCCATTCAGAATACATGATCCGAGTACTAACTGATCCGCCAACTAAATATGGCCAATCACACTTCATAAGCGATGCCACTGATTCCCAGTGGTCTCCCCGCCTCCACACACACCATTAAACGGATTAAATCTCAGCTCCAAGGTTTTATTGCTGGGGACTTGCAGCTACAGCCTGTGCGGAGATGGGGAGTTCATGATGGAATTAGTGGCATTGCTTTTTTGAAGTGGGGTTGGCCATATTCCATTGGTGAATCAGTTATAGTACGTACTCCAATCATCTATTCTGAATGGCCCCTGTGTCACACGTACATGTATGGCCTAAAAATACTCCTACTGACTTTAAAGAAAAAAAATGAAGCATTTCTTGGACTTCTATCATGACCCAGTGTGATTTGATGGGTAAATGTTTTTTTTTTTTTCATGCTTTTATGACAGTTTTTTAAATATTGTTAATTTTTTATAGTTTTAATCAGTTGGTAAGGGTTTATGACCTCTCTTTAATTACAGTATTATTCATTATTTATTAATTCTTTTATTTCTGTTGTCATAGCACTGATGTGGTTCAGGCACACTGTTGTTGCCAAATCAGTGGAGCATGAAATAGTTGAAATGAAAAATGAGCATGAGCGCAACAAACACTTACCAAAGGTAGTACTATGATAAGGTTTATTTGGGTTCAAAGCTAAGTGACTGTAGAAGTATTCTTTTCACGTGTACTTGAATGAAGTCAAAGGTAAAAGATGTGTTGGCATTCATTAGGTATGTGAGAGTTATCTTCTATAGTTTCTCATCAGAAAGTAAAAAGGTACACATGAAAAAATGTTATTTTGACTAGCAAATTGTTATAAATATGTGATTAAAATTGAATAAAGACACCTTTCTCTGCATGGCAATGTCTTTGTCTCTCGTAGGTCCTGAAGCTTTCTTACACTATTGTATATCAGTGTAATATTTCCCTTGTTTCCAGGTAACTGTCTGTCAACTCTTCCGAGACCCCATGCTGAGAGAGCCCCTCATGATTGCCCTGGTTGCTAACATATCGCAGCAGTTGTCAGGAATCAATGCTGTAAGTACTTAGCTACGAGACAGGGGCAGACTGAGGATGCCTTCTTTGTTTTCTGAAAGACAGTCAGATTTTCAAGTCTACATTGACGCGTATCTAATTTTATCTGACAGCAGATGGTCGAAAATGGAAAATGGATCAACAAACATAATTTGTAAGATGGCCAGAAAATATCTCTGGATCTGCCCCCGCAAGAGGTGTGGCCTTTTGTATTGAGTGTTGTTAATATTCCTACAATTATAGCTGTCCTGAAATATATGAATTTCAAAATGTTTGGAAAAGGACTCAAAAAGCAAACTTATAATTATTCCTATTTTACAATATTTCCAGGTGACCTATTACTCCATTATGATCTATGAGCAGGCTGGTCTTAATGACACGGATGCCAGCTATGCTACTGTGGGAATGGGAGGAATCATGTTTGTGATGACAGGGATCAGTGCCGTCTTGGTAGATAGGGCTGGCAGACGCACACTCCATCTAGTGGGACTGGGAGGAATGTGTATATTTACTGTAGTGATGACCATTTCATTTGTCTACAGTGATCCACTAAATCCGCAGGTTATTAAAGTCTTTTGGTTTTATTCAGAGAGAACATGCACATTTTATATATGTTTATATATGTGATATACTGTATAACAGTTTTGGAAGATTAAAATCATAATATATTTGGGATTGAAAAAAAAAGAAAAAGTCACAGGTATTCATATTCAAAAAAATTATTTTTTTCAAAATTTCAGAAAGAGTGGATTTCTTACATAAGCATTGTAGGCATGATAAGCTTTACAATATTCTTCTCTGTTGGGCCAGGCAAGTACATTCATTTTTTGTCTTACTGATAATTTAACAACTACTAGACTGTAATTAAGCACACAAACAGCAATTTGTAAGCAACTAGACCCAAAGGTAATATATATATATATATATATATATATATATATATATATATATATATATTGAAAAAGATCAATTCGAAAATTTTATTTCAGAGATTTAGTAATGGTTTCTTAACTTAAATGTAAGTTCTAAAATATGTAATTATAAAAGTGATATTTTTGTAACAGCTTCATATAAATTAATAAAACAAAAGCTCCATATTGTGATTTATTTGATACGATTATAATATTATTTTAATATTTTAATATATAAAAAAGATGATGCTCTTTATAGGTTCTATTCCGTGGTTTTTAACCGTTGAACTGTTTGCCCAGAATGCTCGCTCAGCTGCCTCCAGTTTAGCGACTCCCTGCAACTGGGCAGCTAACTTTATGGTGGGACTGTTGTACCCAATCATGCAGGTAAGTACATGGAACTGGGCACTTAACTTTATGGTGGGACTGTTGTACCCAACCATACAGGTAAGTACTAGTACATGGAACTGGGCAGCTAACTTTATGGTGGGACTGTTGTACCCAACCATGCAGGTAAGTACATGGAACTGGGCATCTAACTTAATAGTAAGAACTGCTGTACCAAACCATACAGGTAAGTACTGGCACATGGAACTGGGCAGCTAACTTTATGGTGGGACTGTTTTACCCATGCAACCATACAGGCAAAGGTAAATACATCTGGGTGCTAGGGAAATGGGTGCCCCCCTCCCTTTCCTTTTAATCTTCTGGATTTTTAAAAAAATAATTTGAACAAGGTACTAGTAAGGAAATTAAGTTTGCTTTTGTCCAACCTAGAATCCCACGTTTTCTAGACTTGTCTGATCACAGGTACATGTACACCCATCTTGATTGATTTCTTTTGGGGAATTTACTGTAACAACTGATGGAACTGCTGTAAACCGCTGTGAATTACATCCAAAAAAGCTTCAACTTGGTTCAAAACCAAATTCACTGTACATTTCAGAAAAACCTACAGGACTACTCTTTCCTGCCATTCACGGGACTGCTGGCTCTGTTCTGGCTCTTCACCTACATCAAGCTCCCAGAGACCAAGGGGCAGACGGCCCACGACATGTGCTTGTTGTTTGAGTCAAGGGTCAGCGGAAAACCCATCAACGAATTGAGGGAAAGGGACATTAAGGCTTAGGAATACACCCACTTGTGCAGGATTGTTTCCTTGATTTATGGGATCACTACCATTGTGAAATAAATGTGAAGAGTATGTATGGAATGGTTAGAAAAATGGAGAAATTGAGAATGTGAGGATGCAGGCTGTTTGGCCATGCGAAACGAAACGAACAAATTTAATTATGTATAATGATAAAAACAAGACAATAGAGTGAACTCCTTCCAAAAACATGTTTTGAAAAGTTATCAGATGAACCGATCAAAGGCAGTCAAAGAGTCTAAATATTTTAGATCTTATATGAAGTCCCCATGTGGTACAGCTGGGAAATAGACTGAAATTAAGCCTGCTTTCTTTATGTGAGCCTCAGGAATGTCATACTAGGTTTATATAAAAGACTTATATTCTTCAGTTTTTTAGAGTTAAAATTTTGTTTAAAAAAATAAAGGTCTTAAAGGGATAATAACTCTTCGTATGAGATCTATATTTCACAATAAAAACCTTGTGAATAACTCATAGAAATATAATATATTCTGTTTTACCACAAAAACATCAGTTATAGCTTTTATTCTGATATCTGAACTTGTCTTTAGACCACGTGACCTCCATTGATGTCTATACTCTGTTAAAATCTCTTAAGAGATTTTAACAAAAAACCAAACTTTTTAGAAAAAAACCAGGGACTAACTTTGAATGTAAAAATGGATTCATTAACAATTGGTAAGTATGGGAAAATTGTTGTTTACTCCAGGAAAATTCATTTTTTGACCGAAACGAAGAGTTATTATTGCTTTAAGCTCAGGTTATTTGCTAGGGAAAATTGCTTACTGATGGTCTGAAGTGCTTGAGAAGTACTTTGGCATCTTTTTAAATACTCCAGGGACTTGGGTCTTAGTCCAAGGTAGGACTTGGTATACAAAGACTGTTTTCAGATCAGTGTACTTTTGTTATACATGTAGAGGTGTTGAAGATGTCAGGTCACATCACCCATTATGCCTAACAGAAGCATACAAAACAAATTAAAAGGATATTTCCAGACCACCAGTAAACAGAAGTTTTTTTTTTTTTTTTTTTTAGAAATGTTAATCAACTGGTACATGTATTACATTAAATATAACACAGAATGCATCAATTCAAACAATTTTACACAAATTTAAAGTTCATTCTCTATATTTCAAATTAGTGATATTGTAGATTTGAGATATTGTGCCAAAATTAGAACTCCTTATAGACTTTTATATCATTATATAGATTCTTTTTACTACTTAATGATGAAACACCAAAGAATCCCTTGATTGTGCCAAAAGCATATCATACACTGAGCAAAAATATAAATTCCCCATGTAAATAACGACATGTAATGGGCTACAGACAGTAATCTGTAGCACTTTGAACAAAATTTACTTTGTATGATTTAATGCATATAAAACACATAATGGTAAAATGCTGATAAAATGCTTCAGGTATTGCATGAGGCATTTATATTTTTGCTCGGTGTATAAAATATATATAAGACTTAAGTGCCTGTTATTACTGGATAAGTACATGTAGCAATATACATTGTGCAATTTGTAGAATGTTGTTGAAGCAACAAACAAAAGCAATGGGTTTCATGTATTTGAAATGTGTATTTTACTTGAACAAGTAAACAGTGGTTTATTTTAACAAAACATTTTTACTCAGTGTATTATTTTGGTTAAGGTTAAATTTTTCGCATATCAAGAAGCAACAGATTTTTTTGTGAATTTTATATAAATATATTTTAATCATGACTTAAGCATTCAATTGTTTTACGTGTACAGTCAACTGTTTATGAAAAAAAGACCTTGAAAGTTTATCTATGTACCTGGTACATACTGCTGATTCTTTTTACATAACGTATGGATGATCTAACTGAAACAATGATTTCTTCAATATATGGAAACACAAAAGAGGTCTGATTAAATATTAACAAGATCTCAATAAAGACATTAAATCCTTCTGACAGATGTAGCTGTTGTTTCAACTATGATGTTCAAAAAGAGGTTTAGTTCAGAATGCCTTTGATTGACTAACATAATTGCTTTTTGTTATGTGCTTTTTATAACACTACTTTCGAAACAACACATCACCAATTACAGAAAACATAAAAATAGTGACACAAAATTTAAGTCAAGCCTATAGTGTAAGTTTTTTTGCCTGATCCAACACACCCTTCTCTGAGGATCATTATCCTATAACTGTGACATGTAGCAAAACTTTTACCATAAACCTCTCCTCAATACCATGTCAACTGTCCTGGAACAGACGTGACTCACTGGAGTCTTCTCCTATATTTGTAGTGTCAGTCAATGTTGAACTTGTTTTTTTCTTGCCTCCTTTATTGGTTGACTTTCCCCGTTTTTTCTTCTGTCCATTGTCCTCTTCATCATCCTTACACAACTGACTGATGTATTCATGCTGAAGGGATGATAATGGTTTTAAAATATTAAAGCTAGCCAGAATTTGGGTGAAATGTACCAATGATTGTTCTTGTTGAGATTATTTTATAATTCTACCTGTAAATATCACTATAAGTGCAATACGGTGCTGCTTGCCTATTTCTTCAGAGTTTTGTACAGATTTTTTTTTTCAAAAGTAAATTTTAAAGGCAATCCTCCATAAACACATCACATTTATCTCGATTTTCAACTATATGTAGGTTCTAGAAGATATAAACAACTACAACAATAATAAGATAATCTAATATTTTGTATGCTGGTTTAAAACACTGAAATGTGGATTTATGTGTACCTACCAGTTGTGGGGTTTTCCTCACAAGTAACTTCACATCATCAGGTTGAATGGTCATCCTCTTGGCATGCCTGTTAATATTAAATATACATCACATAACAACAATGGAGCACAAGCATTCTGTAGTCATTATATATAATAAATAATATAAATGGTCATTCAGGAATTTCGAAAAACAAATCAATCTGAGCTAAATGGATATGAAACAAAGTACTAGTTAATATTTAAAATTTGAAATTATATCTAAAACTGGTTACCAAAGCTTATTTTAAACTAACAGAAACATCTTAGAAACTAAAGCTGGCAGTTTAACTTGGAAAAAAAATCACTCTGTGAACATGTGTACATCACACAAACAACCAAAATCTTAGATTGCAAATAACAGTAATGAGTTTTTTTTAATATTATTGGTGGATATCCAACATTTTGGACCACCCTCTCCAAAATATCATTTTTGAGATCCATGAAGAAGGGCCCCTGGACCCAAATCCATATTTTCAGCCTTTTTTCACTAAATGGCAGTCTCATCCCTGAAATAATGTTAGATTCTCTCTTTGCATACCTAGCAAACAGCTCCAAATCCCTGCCATATGACTGTATTTGTTTGTATGCAGCCTCAGTGACGGCCGCTATGAACTGTCTGCTATAAGTGACCTCTTCCTCCTCGGCAAACTCCTCACATATCTGTCCTGTAGTGTAGTGGACGGCAGCCTTCAGTTTCTGAAATGTAAAAAAAAAGCACTTACGTAATGCAATGGCAGATGGAAGGCATCTTCTGGGTCTTCTGGTCAGAATTTTTTCAAGTTGATTGACAGGCATCTATTTTTTTTTTCTGTTGGAAGATGAACAAAAATGCTGGATGGATCAACAAAGGTAACTTGCAAGACTGTCAGAAAATATCTCTGGATTTGCCCTTATGATGAGAGAAGCAAGGTTACCAGTAGATCTACTCATGTATTGGTCTGAAGGCACAAATGTCAAAACATGGGTTCTCTTTCTGAAAATGTGGACCTTTTGTCGTACCCTCTTAGTTGACCCAACTTGATAAATGGTACAGAACTTCTGCACTAGATAAACTTACTTCAGAGCAGACCTTTTCTGGCCTTCAGGGAGGTTTTTTCCAAGCCCGGCCACCCACCCTTTCTAATGTCTGAGTTAACTACAGTAACATTTAAAAATGACATGTGGGATTTTGTACCTCTCCTGTAATTAAGTGAACTGCTGTCTTCAGTAGAAAACGTGTACGGCAATGTCACAGTATTCCTTGACACTGACAGACTAGACTTTACAGTTGCCAAGTTTTAAGGCATGCCTGTTCTATGTATTGTTTCAACTTCCAAGCAATTAATATTATTTCGGGCACAATCGTTACTATACGTACTGAATTTAATTCATCAAAGGCATTAAAGCATTACTACTTGTAATATTTGTAAATATCACAGAGACGTACGAGTTGGGGTGGGGGGGGATTCTAAGCCTTTTTATGGAGAAGGCAGCAGATACCAAACTACTAAAACGGGAATGTTATGCTATTTAATAAATAATTGCAAGTAAGGATAAATATTTGGGATAAATATGCCCTTATACCTGTTGATGCGCCAATTTTTCATAGTCCTCATCGTCTGACATGTTGAAATTTGGCGCAAGGAATACATACAAATTGGGGATCGATGCGGAACAAACGGTATTTTAAAAATCTAGATTCATCCATAATCCATACTTTAAAAAATGATAAATGGTATAATTTGTGACGATCAGATATTTGTAATGTAAATATATTTATCCATTAATTCTAGTTTATATATTACCAATGACCTTGAATTCTCACTTTTCTGAATCTTTCTTTTTAGTTGCATCTCGCGCAATCTCGGAAATGAGAAAAAGCATGGAGTCCTTCGGAAGCTGACGACCTTACGTAAACCTTTTAAAAACACGACAGTTTTTAATTCCGAAGACAAACAGTACTCGAGAAAGGATTTTACTCAAAAAAGGTACACGCACATCTATTTTTGGCTGAGTTTTCCTTCAATTTGGTCGTCAACTGGCTCATAATCGGCGTAGAGCTCTTTAATTTAAATGGGAGAACGTGCGTAGGTTGAGTCAGACACTGTGCATTTGTATGTGAAATTTCTTTGTTTTCTGCTTTCGATAGTAAGTGGAGAATATTCAGTTTTTCGTTGTTGTGCCACCTTAACCATATACGCAGAACATTAATTTATATTCCATGGATGAGAGCCACTTCAAATTTGTATACTTCTCTGTAGCATTTAGAATATTGACATATCACGACATTTATTTGTTAACACTCCTGTGGACGATATTGATATATACGCTTTGCTGACGCATGAAAGCAAAAGCCTCAGAAAACGTGTTATGAAGACCATTAGCCCAAGCAGCCACAATGTTGGAGCTCTCAAACTTCTATTTTACCTGTCACCTCAACCTGACGACAAACAAGTTGTGCAGAGTTGTGAAGTTCCATCAACAATATTACTTACCCTATTATGCTTGGGACTGGACTAATTTTTTCTAATATATTGTGCTGAGTTGCGCTGTATTGCATACTGTAGCAATATCCTTGACAATGCACATTTTTAGTAAAACTTAGTATAAATCTGTAAATTGCAAGGTGGTGTTCAAATGATGAAAACTTTAAATGATGTGGTCATAATATTTCATACTTTCTTCTCCTAGTGTTTTTGATCTACCATGTCCGGCATTGTTGACCACTCTCGCTACCCAATGTCGAAATCTCCCCACACACCTCCACGCCAACTAGGCAATGGCCATGGTCACACCGCCTCCCCTCTCAAAATATTTGGACATGCCAAGAACAAAGTCAATGAGATCTTCAAGACTATTACAAGCTATATCAGCGAATCTGATGCTTTTCTTACTGGTAAGTGAAATAAGCAAATAGGGTTGCCTAGTCATTCATTTTGTGTTGTACTTTTTTTTTTGTAATGCTATCTCTCTCTCTCTAGCTCTCTCTCTCTCTCTCTCCTCATTATGAAATAATGGATTTGTATATGATATTATATTATTATGTATAATACATCAGGCATACCAGAAGGAGACAACATTGTTACCCGTGAACAGCTAGAAGAAGTGAAAGCCTTCAAGGGGAAAGTGGCTGGTATTGGAGAGGTCCTGTCCAGGGACCATATGAAGGTGGTCTTTTTTGGAAGGTACAGTATGTTTTATTGCATTAGACCAGAATTCTAAGGGGCACTTGTTTTAAAATTTTATTGTTTGGATGGGACAAATTAAATACTATAACTTAAGATGTGTTGAGTTTACTGTGAACGTTATGTGGTAATCATCCTCATGTGATTTAAAGTTGTATTGTGGTAGCAGTTTAAACTGTATACTAACTCAATGTATTTTTTTAGTCGTTCAGGAGTTCCAGTTCATCGCTGATTGTTTCAGATTTTCTCATGAGGTCCTATAGGTTACAGAGGAATCCTCAGGACTAGGTTATTAACTGTATATTCTCTAGATATTAATTATTTATCATTATTGACTGCAGGACCTCAAATGGTAAAAGCACAGTGATCAATGCCATGTTGAAGACCAAGCTGCTACCCAGTGGTATAGGACACACCACAAACTGCTTTGTACAGGTGGAGGGTTCAGACACACATGAAGGATACCTGCTCACAGAGGACTCAGATGAACAGAAAAGTATACATGTAAGTTAGTCTGAAAAAAAAAAATGAAAATTGATTTTTTTGACACATTGGGACCCAATTTAAAATTAAATTAATTTGATTGTAAATATATAGTATAAATTCCATGTAGAAAAAAAAAGTGCTGTCCCCGTTGCAGCCTTAATGTGTTGTATATAAATCTAGTGAATTTGAAATGAGAAATGGATTAATCTTGCTGCATTCTACTTCAATCAAACCAGCCATAGCTCATGCCCTGATCAGTATAGTGGAGTGAAGCTAGACAGCAGTGCCTTGATCAAAATCCTCTGTAACTTAATATTTCAGTCTGTCCGTGAGCTGGCCCATGCCCTGAGTGGAGTGAAGCTAGACAGCAGTGCCTTGATCAAAATCAAGTGGCCCAAGGAGAAGTGTGTCTTGCTCAGAGATGATGTGGTGCTGGTGGACAGGTGGGTGACAAATAACAAGATTTCCACAAATGAAAGCCCCTATGATGTATCCAAGAATTTAGCCAGGGAGTCCACTAGTCCTAATATGGATGGAGTGTTTCAGCGTAAAACTGCTGGAGGGCTTTTTACAATACTTGGTCGTTTAACCAACATTGAGGTTATTATGGGCAGCCTGTTTCCAAATTCTCGCTAAAGACTTGCCAGTGGGTGTATCTCTGCATGATTTATATACTTTTTGATCTCCATTTTAAGGCTTTGCTTCAAATTTGACAATTTTTTCAAGCCTGGTTGTATTAATGTCTTTTTCACTCGTGGCAATATTAAAGCCTGGTCCTAAAACAGAAGTCTGTTTTAGTGACATGGTTTATGTCTTGGGAAAAATTTTAAGCCTGGTCATGAATGTCTATTTCAGCCCTGGCGTAGATGTTTGAGGAGGCTTTGTTTGATCTCCATTTTGAGGCTTTGCATCAAATTTGAAAGTCAATTTTCAAGCCTGTATTATTGTCGTTTTCACTCATGGCGATATTTAAGGGTGGTCATAAAATATGAGTCTATTTTAGTGCCATGGTTTATGTCTCAGGAAAAATTTTAACCCTGGTCATGAATGTCTATTTCAGCCCTGGTGTAGATGTTTCGGGAGACACAGATGCCTGGATAGATAAATTCTGTCTGGATGCTGATGTCTTTGTACTAGTTGCCAATGCCGAGTCCACTTTGATGCAAACTGTGAGTAGTGATTTTGATTCTTAATCTACTTCTAGATAAATGATGCGGATGCATTTTTCGCATTGACACTTAAAATTTATGATAAACATAAGTGCAACAGAGAATCTTCAGTTTATATCAAATTTAATTCTTCATTTGATAGCTTTCAGCATAAATTTGTAGCCTTAAATTCACTCAATTAGATAACAACTTGATGTACATTCTTTGTATTACTAATCACTTCTTTATTTTTCCTTACAGGAGAAGAATTTCTTTCTGAGAGTGAGTGATAAACTATCCAAGCCCAACATCTTTATCCTGAACAACAGATGGGATGCCTCCGCCAGTGAGCCCGAGATGATGGAGGAGGTGAGAGAGGGGGGTGGTGTTTTAGAGAGAGAGAGAGAAAGGGGGGGGGGGGGGGGGGGGGGGCTTATGAAATCATCTACAGCAACCTTAGATGTGTGAAAGCTTCTACATTTGTTTCTTGACAGATAAGCTTAAGATGTTTATTAAACAAGAGCAAGAAAGAGTATTTAATATATGATATGTATGTCCTGTTATCTGTGTTTATAACATGTCCTCTGGCCTGTGCTATTTTTTCTCCTCTAGCCTGTGTATATGATATTAGTATATTCCTTCTCTGTATCCCCACAGGTCCGTAAGCAGCATTTAGACAGGAACATAGCCTTCCTGGTGGATGAGCTGAAGGTGGTGAACAGACAGGAGGCCGAGAACAGGGTGTTCTTCATATCTGCCAGGGAAGCTTTAACATCCAGGTCACAGGGACAGCCTGGCACCCCTAGCCCACGTGAGTACCAACACCACTGAGGTTCATGTGAACATTGTAATAAAGATGTGGCGAAGCTTGGGGTCCATGTAACAGATAGTACATCTACTTAATTATAGAGGTTAAGGTTAGCCTGATGTAAGTGGCTCAAATTTTAGGGCGAGGCTTACCTGTGCAAATTTTTGGGAACTGGACTCTCTGTGATGGGACTCTCTGTCACGCCAGACTGGCACAGGTTACAACTAATGGAAAGGTGTGAGCTGCCCTGTCTGCAGTCAAATTGGTCCTAGAATAAAAGATAATTAATCATTTCAAGCTTGGTTACTGTATTCTTGACAAATAATATTTGACATATTTCAAAGTGTGTAATGATGTTAGATATTTCTTATTCATTTCAGCAACAGTTTGTTTACTAGATTTTTGGAATATTTATTTTTTGTCGTTCAGTTGATTTGTTATATTTTAAGATGCAGTCCTACAGGAAGGGTACCAGGCTAGGCTGTTTGAATTTGCTAACTTTGAGAGAACATTTGAGGTAGGTAAGGGGGTTGGGAGAAAAAAAATGAGGTGAAAAAAGGGGGTTTGACAAGCTTGCACAGTGAGGTTCAATATTGTAGAAATGATTTATGTTTCTTGAAATTGAAAACAGTTTGATTGTGCAACAAAATAAAATATAAATAAGAAGAATAACAAAAGCATTCATTTTGTTGTAATTAAGTCTCATTTTATTTGTCAAAAATCACAGCTATTGATACAAACTCGCTCTCCTGTGACATACAAAGCGTGGCACCTTGTGTGGCGTTGGAATCTCGTATCCATTTGCACTTTGTAGAGCTTGTCAAGCACAACATTGGAGGTGGTTTCCCTTTTTTGTTTCATTTTTCATATGAATGCACTTACTCTAGCTGGTGGTACAAAACCCGAAGGCAGTATCCCCTCTCTGATCCTCTAGTATTTCACCAGTGCTAACTCGCTAGATTTTCCACTCTAGGAATGCCTGTGTAAGTCTGCAGTGAAGACCAAGTTTGAGCAGCACGCCCAGAGAGGAAAGACCCTGTCCAGTCAGCTCAGGACCATCATGGAGGCTGTACACGAGCAATCGCTTCAAGCAAAGTAAGTAGGCAAATCTTAAACATAATAATGTGTAATAGATTTATAATACATTGTAATGATAAGTTGACTTTTAGTACAAGCAAAGTTTGAGAGTTAACCAGGTTAGCTCAGTTCACTATAATGATAAGTTGGCTTTCTCTCCCATTGTCATAGAGATGCATTATTTTGGGTTGTGAAGTCTTTAACTGATATATCTTGAGTTTGTGAAAAAAAAAGTTAAGACTGGGGAGGGTTTTTTAAAAATAGTAATCCGTTTGTATCTTTTGAACCATTGAACGCTTTAGTTATTAACCATTTATCTGACTGTTGCCTAACAGTTCTCAAACAGTGTGTTTGCTGTGTAAACTTCCAGAAATCGCAGTATAACGCAGCGAGGCGAGACAAGCAGTAGGTTACAGTTTGTGTCTACGCAGCTGGACAAGTTGTCCAGTGAAATAAAAGACCAGATCAAGCTCATGGTGGAGGATGTGGAAAATAAAGTGGGTTTGATTTTCTGTATTAAATTTGTTTGTGATAGGTATTAGTCTTGTTTCTTATCAGGCTATTAAAAAAATAAATGGTAAAAATATAAGCATGTATTTGTCATGTGAAAGTAGTCTGTTTGAAAATAAGCATTGGATGTAAAATAAAAGACATTCAAATTAGTTTCAGAATCCTTGTGATTGAATTTCTGCAATTGACATTTTTTTCAACTACTAGTAAATTATTTAATTAAATTTGGAGGGGGAAGGTAACTTTTCTGTTATCAATATGTCTGTAAATGTTGTATTTAATGTAATGTAAAACTGATGATTTGATAAAACTGATGATTTCTTCATGCTGTCTAGGTTGCAAAAGCCCTGAACGAAGAGATCCGCCGTCTCTCCAGTCTGGTAGATGAGTTTGACCGACCTTTCCACCCAGACCAAAATCTGTTAGCTGTATATAAAAAGGTGAGCCGTGTGTACAAAAAATTTTAAAAAGTAAAATAATTTATCCAAATGACAGTTGTGAAAAGTTGATCATTTCTAAAGAGAGCAAACAAGTATTTACCTAGTAAAGAACAAGCCTCTATAAATGGTTTACTTTTTACCATTATTATAATTATAAAAACCTTTAGTTGACTTAATTTTGACTATAAAATCACTTGAATTGGTTGACATTGTGAATTGACGTTATATACCATGAGAGCCACTTGTTACATAAAGGAGCTTCACAAGTACATAGAGGCCAATGTCTGCCAGAACCTGCAGGCACGCTGTAACTCTGACATACGCAAACAGCTCTGGGAGAACTGTGAGATGGTACAAGGTATAAAATGACCTTTGGGTGACCTCAGGATGACCTCAGGATGACCTTGGCTGACCCATGTTGACTTTTAGTTTGCTTAACTTATTGCTTAAAGGGATAACAACTCTTTGTATGAGATCTATATTTCACAATAAATACATTGTAAATAACTCATAGAAATATAATTTATTTCTATTTCACCACAAAAATGGCAGTTAAAGCAATTATTCTGAAATCTTTGCTTGTCATTGTACCACATGACCTCCATTGATGGCTATACTCTTAAGAGATTATTACTGGAAAACAAACTATTTAGAAAAAAACCAGGGACTAATTTTGAATGTAGAAATGGATTCATTAACTATTGGTAAGTACGGGAAAATTGTCGTTTACCCCAGAAAAATTCATTTTTTGGCCAAAATGAACAGTTGTTATCCTTTTAACGTGTCGACTTTTTTTGTTTGTCTAACTGTATGCAGGTGGACGTGTTTGGTTTCTGATTATGTTCAGTTTATATTTGTGAGACTGTTTTCTCGTCGTGAAATTCAGATCAGATATTCTCTTATTAACCCCAGCTTGATATTTCGTTGTATATTTTCATTTGATTTACACCTTATTATTTTCCACCTGGTTTGTGTTCGTAGGAACTGCATGCTCACGTGGAGCAAAGTTTAGGGCGTAACTTACAAGCCAAGTGTTCGGAGGCGTTGTTGCGTGCTGTTGACTGCACAGAGCGCGACATGACAGGTTTGTGCATGATAATTATGTTGCACGTTTGTTGATATTTTGTCACATTGGTATGATCTTGATATATCCTATTTTCTCATTTTCTCTTTGTATCCTATTTGTTTTAGTAATATCTTTTAAGAAAAAGTTGGTTTGATAGAATACAGCAGAGAAATGTGTTGTGAAATGGTCCAATGCATTTGATTTATTTTATAGTTCAGATCTGGTGGATGCTGTACTTGAACAACCAGTTTGATTTTGTCATTTTAATAACCAGACTGAGTTTGATTTCTGCAAATATAACGGTCACTGTTGTTACTAGTGTTGACAACCTGCTTTGAATGTTTATTTAAATAACATTTTTACCAATAAATGGTGTGTTTTACGTGTAAATAGAAGTGCAATAAATTTGTAGCTGAACCTTTTTTATTTACAGTGATATTTAAAAAATGATTATTTATCTTATGTATTAACTATTGTGGGAGAGCAAAATTGATAACAATTTAAAAAAATTAATGGCAAATAATTGCTACAGTCAAAAGTGATGCAGTTATTTAACTTAAAATGTCTTTTTTGTGCTTAGAATGTTCCTTCTAACATTTGTCATCCCTCCCCACTCCAGATCGTATCTCTCACCTGTTACCTGAGGAGTCCAAGCTACAGCTGCTGAACTCTTTACCCAGGAGAGACTTTGAAATCGCATACCGCCTGGACTGCCGTAATCTCTGCGCAGACTTCAGGGAAGACATCGAGTTCCACTTTTCTCTTGGAATTTCCTCGTTAGTCAAGAGGTTCCTGGGTCCAAAGTGTGCTTCTAGGGCGCTGAGGGGGTACAGCAATCAGGTAATCCAAGTCAACTTTATTGCCACCTTAGAAGTTTTTTAATGACGAAATAAGTGGCATTGTCTTTGCTTGTTATTAGTTATCACTAAAAGTACTGTATGTAGTTTTGAAGTAATAGAAATGACATGTACACAAAATCTTTGTCTCTCACCTTGATCAAATTGGGCCTTTGTACAAAAGAACCCTTCTTACCAATTTCATCACCATTTTTCTAAATACAATACTCAGCTTTTTCTCTGTATCTCAAATGATTAATATTCAAAATATTATATGTATTTTATGCTTTTAATGTAAGTAATGACAAACCTTATGCCAGAAAAACTTATACTGGTTTTTCACTTATGTTTTCATACATGAATCTTATGAACATATCTTTATTAGACTGTCAATGTGCATTATTCTTTCTGCTCAAAGCAGGCACTCTCACAAAGTCACCCTAAGTAGTTGCAAGACGTTTACTTTTTTCTTTCCCATAATTCCAGATTCCTCCCCCACTGACCCCAATGACCCCCATGGAGCCGGAGAGCTACCCTGTGAGACAGAAGAATGAACTCATGATGGCGTTACTGACCAATTTCTCATCTCTGGCCTCTAGGTCAACAGTTGGTGCTGTCGTTGTTGTGGGAATTGTAAGTAAATTTAGCACTGTATTTAACTATTGGTGCTGTCATTGTTGTGACAAAGTATTGAATTCAGAGTGTGTGTGTGTGTGTGCGTGTGTGCGTGCGTGCGTGCGTGCGAGAGAGGGAGAGAGAGAGAAGTCGATGGTATTATCTTTAAATATAATATCTAAACTTCACCTTATATTGTGTATACTTTCACTTTCTATTTCAGGCATTCAGAGCAGTTGGCTGGCAGGTGGTTGGTGTGGGCCTGGCTCTATATGGGGGAGTGTACCTGTACGAGAGGCTCGCCTGGACAAACAAAGCCAAAGAAAGGACGTTCAAGAGGCAGTACGTGGACTACGCCTCCAACAAACTCAAACTGATAGTGGACCTGACAAGTGCCAACTGTAGCCATCAAGTCCAACAGTAAGTGTTCTTTTTTTTTTTTTTTCACAGTGTATATGGTGCTATGTACTTCATCATATTTAATTCTGTTTTCACCATTACAGTTAAGTTGCCATAGACCATTTCAGATGTTGAAATGGTTTAGTTTCAATTTTCTTCTGTGTCCCATGTTATTGCCAGAGAGTTGAAATGAAGTTTCAATATTACACCCCTCCTGTGTTATTTCCAGGGAATTAAAATAGTAAAGTTTCAATATTTTTCCCCTCGTGTTATTTCCAGGGAGTTGAGCTCCACATTCTCCAGACTGTGTTCTCACGTTGACCACACCAAGGCAGACCTGGAGGAGGCCATCGCAAGCTACAACAGGGAGGCAGTGAAGTATGAGGAGTTTGGAAATAAGGCAAAATTACTTAGGTTGGTCTTGTTTGTGTATTGTGATTGAATTTTAATTCCATTCAAGGGATAGTTGACTTTAAAGTATTGAAATAGTTACAAGACAAAATTGTGTGAGGTGCAAGTGTGTAGTTATTGAGACATAATAATTTTTGTAAAATTTTTGTACATGAAAGAAGATGACTTTCAGAATATGGAGACAAGCATTTTTCATGCCACCTGAAACCATTTAAATTCATAGTTAGTTACAAGTGCTTATTGACTTTCTTTCTCTCTTGTTTTCAGAAATAAAGCTGGATACATTGACACAGAACTGAACAGTTTCATCAAACAATACCTGAAACATGATGTATAACATCAGTCCCATAGCGCCATCTACAGTGCTGTGTATAGATAACAGAGTGAATGGGCTTCACCACCTGGTGTTTTTTTAGCCATTGTGTGTGCATGAAGATCTTAACAGGAAATTGCTTTAACATTTGTATGCTGAAGTGAACAGTCATGTCCAACATCATCTGTCACATGGTGTACATCTCCAGAATGCCTGTATTTTATCTGACATATTGTGAATTAAAGATGTACAGCAACCTTGCACATATTCAAGTGGAATGTATCTCTAGGGTTAAGTTTTACAGAGGCTTATTGGCTTAATGTGGGATGTGACATTTATTTGGCTTACTAGAGAGAGGAACATTGCCAATATCAAGTACAACGGGCTCTTTTGTTTCCATCTTACTTGTGGATAAAGTTCTGGTGAAGGATATTTTATGTGATGGTTTCATGACGTGAGTGCTGCACTGCCATCTTGTGTACCCAGTGAACATGGCCTTTGACCTACTTTCAACCATGAATTGCTTTCTTGCAAATTTGCAATTTTCTTGCCCTTATTTCTTTTAGAGGTATCAGGTACGGATAGTTTTTTCAAGAAACATTTCACTGTAGGAAGTAGGTCAAAGGTCGAATTCAAGGTCACATTTAGATGAGCATGACTCTGTACTTATCACATAATTAACAAGAATAACAAATACGTGTACCTGTTTATGCTGGGAACATTTTATTTATTTTAAAATCTTGTCATGCATAATTTGTTGAGGCACTATAATATGTGAATTAAATTGTGCTTTTAACGAAACTTTGTTAACTAAAGGTGCTTAATACTTATTTATTGTACATATATAGGCACCTTCTTGTGGGGTATTGTAACTGACGTGAAATAAATCTTGCAAAGTTTTCTAGGAGTTAGTGTATAGTATGAACAACTGCTTAAAAATATCAACATGGACAATTTGATTTTATTTCTTGACAAAACCATTTGGTAAAACTTGTCAGCCATGCTAAGAAGCACAAAGTAGAGCTTGGAGGATTGGAGGAAGTTTTGTTCCCATTGGATTGAATGTAAAATTTTGTTTTGTACAATTTTCATGCAAAGAAATATACTGCAGTCAGTTTTAGTATTGATAATTCTGAAGTGAATATTGCTCTTCAAAGATGGCTTTTTCTATAAATTGTCTAGGCATACTGAGTACATATGTGAATTTTTAATATTATTATTATTATTCTCATTACATCTCATTAAATATTGAAGTTATGAATGGCCACATATAATTGTGACCATTAAAAAATTATGACTGTAATTTGGTGTCCCTGCTCTAGGTACCCCCCCCCCCCCCTCCACATCACAAATCACAGAATTGATGGCTGACACAAAGTGTACACAGTTGATAGAGAAGGCTGTTTGTTTTTGCTCATCAAATGACACCAGGTTCCCTTAGAATGTAGTTGGTATTCAAAAATAATGAATTACAGCAGAAGAACCATGAGTTGTTAGAAGCATGTCACTTGTATGCTCTTACTAATGCATGTTCAGTTACAAATTAATCATCTGAACTGGTTGGCAAGATGTATTTGTTGATTCTATTTGTAACTCACTATAATGTGCACATTATTGTAATTATAATTATTATTATCATTAGTATTTTGTTAAACTGTAATAAAATGTTTTTATACACTATTTCTGTTGATGGTGTTGCTGCACAACAATAGCTGTATGCAAAAGAAATGTGAATATAGTATGAATGAGGGAGTTATTGGACAGAAGTGCGTGGATTGCAGCTATATAATTTATAGATTCTGCAGGTGTCTTTATATATATGTGCCGTTGTCAATTGAGTCCAACAGATGCCCCAATTAGATGAGCCTTTTGATTTGTACTGTAATCTGACAAAATTGGGCCTCGGTAAGCTCAGTATACAAAATAATACAATATAACCTAGAACAGGGACTTAAAGGCATGTTAAAATGTACTGAAACTTTCAAGTATCAAGATATATCAGTACAGCTTTAATTTTTTATTATTATTATTATTTTTTTAAGGGTGGGGGCGTAAGATGCTGGTCTTAATCACCTGAATGAGTCCAAAATGACAACAAAAAAGACATTATTAAAAAACACTTTCTTTAATTTATTTTGACCTTTGCTTTTTGAGCAACAATTTTAACAAAATCATCAGACAAATTTCTAACTAGTGCCAAGCTATGATGAAAGTGTAATAAATAGTAAAGTGTTCAAATTAAATAAATGTGAAAATGGTAATAAACCTGACATTGTATAAGTAAAGACATACGTAGTCACCAGAGGCTTTATTGAATTGCTCTTTTGGAACACTGTATTCATTCAATGTGAAATAACTACAAATAAATCAATAATAAATGTATAAATATAAAGTTAACATACAATGTAAAAACAACAACCCGACAGATTATTTAAAAATCCACACAAAGAGAAGATAATAAATATTTATAATTATACAGCCAATAAATAATAGAAATTGATGAAATTCAACATGAAATGTTCTCCATTTCTTTAATTCTGTTATCAAAAATTTAAAACTTGAGTGTGTTTCATGTAAAAACACATTTTACCAAATATCTTTTCTTTACAGTCAAAATATTCCTGCTTTGACAAAATCCTGTAAATAAATTTGAGAACAGCTGAAATAATTTTACACTGGTGTCCTATTTTGTCGAAATGACAACTGAAAGAGCACTAAGTAAAGGGCAACCATTAAATACCATGCCCAATTTCATTATGATTAAGAATTCACCAAATGTGCCTTAAAGCAAGCTGCTGAACCTAGCTCTTTTATCTGTCACTGAATCATGTCCAAAAATGAAAGTGAAAGTGAGCAATGAGGAAATTATGTCACCGTCTAAGCACAGCACCATGTCCCTGAACTCTGAAATCCACGGGGGATGTCATCCCCAACTCTCCCTTCAATATATCATAAACCTGGGAACAGAATGAATAAAGTGTTTATAAAATAAACTGAAGCATGATTCATTTCAATGTATCTTTAAATATAATATCAAATATAAGATTTATAATATTTTAAAATTAATTTTTCATCCCGACTTTAAAAAATCACAAAGCAAATGAAAGTCAACCCTTTCAAGAACTTACTTGTAAACAGTGACTGAAGTTGCAGTAGACACTAATAGAATCTGGCTCAATCTGTAACAGAAATTACCCATAAACAGTGAATGATAAATTTACACTATTCTCTTACTCTGACATATAGATGGTACCTTTTGGATAGAAATTGACAGAAGACTTTTGATGACTATGAAAAATGACTTCACAAACACGCACACACACACACACACACACACACACAGTTTCTAAATAATTGTTGAATTCCTGAACTATACAGCATCATATTTTAATATATAAATAAATATTTCAATATCTTAATAAACTAAATTTAATTTTTACACTGTGAAGGTCAATCTCCTTATCAACACAACATTACCATACACAGTACTTCACGTGTGTCACAATGACATGAATACCAGTAAAAATACTATTAGGCAAATTTTCATCCAAAGTTCTTACCAGTACAGCGTTACAATGTGGAAGTTTCCCCTGGGATATAATACTGCTGATTTTGAGCCATGCTGAGTCCTGTGGTTCACTAGTGTTGCCTGGTCAATTAAGATATAGAAATCATGGTTATTTGAGATTCATCTACTTCAGAACAACATCCACCACATTGCTTAGTTTTTCTTCATATAATCTATTAAGATATTAGTAATTTAGAAGCAGCTTTTATTCCTTATTCTTCAAATAAATTAGATTCCACGGCATATGCCATTTTAATATTTGTGTGTATATGTCAGCCCTCATAATCAGTGTTTGTAATCTCTCTCTCTCTCTCTCTCTCTCTCTCTCTCTCTCTCTCTCTCTCTCTCTCTCTCTCTGTACAAGTGCATATATCATGCACATATATATCTCCTACCTGCCAGCCCACATACCACCTCCCAGCTCCCCCTCTGTATATGTGTGTACAGTATATGTATATGTATATATGTATGTGTATCAACCATACATGTATCCCTTACCTGCCAGCCCACACACCACCTCCCAGCTCCCTCTCTGTGCAGGGTGCAAGTTGTACTGCCTGCTGGCCTGGGACAGCTCTATGTCCAGGACACCTCCCAATTGCTGCCACTGCTGGGCCATAGACTGGCTCTGTGGTGAAGAACACCACCTCTGGAAATTATTATTATTAATATATAATAAATATAGCCATTTATTTCATATCATACTGGATAAGCATTGATTTTTTTAAACAGCTAGGCTGTGTCATAGTTGCTTTAAGATCAATTTATTTTAGAAAAAATTGTTGGTAAAATATTGGTTTTGCACATGGAAGATATTCACAACTGACCCCAGAAAAAAATTATTAATTCTCTTGTATTATAATTGTTTTACATTATGCTCATGTTTGATAAATGTTATTCAATTGCCTACACTGTGAATTTGGCACTTTCTACCCTAAAAAGGATTTGAAAAATAATTTAGTTGCTAAGTTAAAAAAAGAATAACTTGTTAGCTATCTAATCAGTTGTCTTATCCTTACTTTCTTTGTCAGAGAACCTTCCTCACTGGAGGAACCACCACTCTCAGACTCATCCTTCCTTCTCTTCCTTGACATTAGCTTCTTCACCAGGGGAGACACAGCTAGACGTGCTTTTTGCCTTTGATATAACTGCAGATGTGGTTTTGCTTTTGGTGTCCATGGTTTCTTAAAGTCTGTTAAATTAATGCCTGATTCTTGTTTAATTGTTTTGTGTAAAGTGCTTTCATCTTGATCATTTTTACTTTCTTCACTTGAGTTTTCCAACAGATGTTGATCGGGAGATGATTGTTTATTCTTTTGTGGATCCATTTTAAATTTGTCACCAGGGTGAGAACTATGGTGGTTTTCTTCTTTTAGTACCACCATTTTGTCCTTAAAACATCACTTCCCGGATGGGCTCTTGTCGGTTTGCATGAAGGTTACTACAGTAACATTACATGAGGGGATTCTGAAAATGGAACACATTTAGACCCCGTTCAGATTCAAATTCAGAGCTACTAGTATATTGTTTGATACGCCTTCTTGCGTACTGTAGCTGAGGGGTAATTAACTTTAGTGAGAGCTGGGTTTAATTACCCCCTAACAGCTAGAGGAGGCGTCTCAGACATTAAAGCTGATCACACTGATTACACTTAGGGTGAATATCCAGCAGAGGGTACGATGGGTTTAAGAACTTAATCTGAACGGTCCGTTAGACTAGCAATAACACTGATCAGTCTTGAAAAAAAAGGGGTAATTTACTAGTAAATTAAAGAAAGAAATGCACTTGGATTAGGATAAAAAACTAAAATTGCACAGCTTATGGTTATAATAAAGCAATGTCAGTCCAGCTAGCCGTATTCTAGCACCAATAAAACAACAATATTTGAATTGAGAACTTGATGAATATTTTAGTCGGAAATTCACTTCTTAGAGAAAAGATTTAGACTAGCACTTCGACTCGTCGTGTTCTCGGCGTTATTCCTTACCGTTGCTATCACTGGGATTCCCAGGTACAACAGCTTAACCATAGATCTGAAAATAAAATTGAACGTTAACTTGTTAAAATTCTATTCCGCCGGCGCCATTCGTAAACATTGTAAATTTCCTTCCTTCACTGCTGAAGATCGAGAGCGCTTTCTCATCATCAAGACACAACGTTTGATTTCTTTACAAGTAATTTTTAAAGTTTTTCAACAATTCGATTAAAATAAAAGAAACAAAAGGCAAAATTACAAAAATCAGAAAACGCATAAATTTGTTATTTCATGTATTTATTTTAATTAATATTTGAATTTTATTCATCAACACTGTATC